TGTCAAGGAACAGCAAAGGCTCCACTCAATGGTGGTCAGTCAGTGCATTTCCCAAAAGAGGCTGGCACAAAACTGTATGTCACAGCACTATAGAAAAGCCATGCAGGAACTAATAGTACAAGATGCTTAAAATTGGCCTCTTGTGAGCTGTTTGAATGGCAAAAAATACAGAGTTCAGATAAAGAAAATTCCAAGACTAATGGCAAATACCACAAGGACAAATTATATCAAGAAGGAAAAGTGAAAAACTCTTTACTTGGTGAGGGCCTGTGGCATCATCAGTGGCATCATAGAAGTGCTCCACATAGCAATGTAAACGCGTGTCCAAACTACCTGCAGCCAGGGAATATTAGACCTATGGCACTGTGGAGGGTCATTCTGTGTTTGTGTCTGTCCATCTCCAGGTGCATTAAGGAATTTGGATAACAATGATACATAGATGGGGGCTGGCTGTTGTTGATGCTTAAGGGTAAAATTATGGATAGTTTGAAGCTTATCTGTGACATATGAGTCCCTATCACTAAGAGTCCCATAACTGCATAAAGAAATGATGTGGTCTTTTACCTTGTAGAGGAAAATATGAACAGGTAAAGAGAGAGTCAACATAAGGTCTCTGCCGGCATTTATTTAGTGAAACATTAAAACCATCTGAGCATTTTCTTGGATGTTTTCTAGGGCACAGTGTGTATGAAGCAAGATTTGTCTATGCACGTGTGCAGTTATACCATGCACAAATTGAACTCAGTGGCCAAATTCTGGTTAGGTTTGATTGATGATCAGAAGACACAAGCAGTTGCAGTAAATAATAAATTAGGTAGAGAATTCTGAACCGACATGCTTATAGAGCAGCATTGTGAGATTTTCCTTCTCATCAGGTACCTGAGAGCCTACTTTTGGAAGGAGGAGGAAAGAGAGAGAAGAGAGTTGATTTCTCATGAGAATTGCCCAACAGAAATTAAATTCAAGTGTCTGTTTGGCTTTTCTGAAGTCTAGTAAGTTAAGAAGCCAAACTTTGCTCTGTGTGGGAGTTTCCTACAAGGCAGAGTGCAGGGAAGGATTCATAGCCAGCTCTAGATAAGAGTGATAAGCAGAGGATTAGGTTTGAGAGCTAATTCCTGTGTGCTGTCTTTTCCCCAGAGAGACTAAGGGTTCATGCAAGAGGTGCCTCCATCTGTGCCAGACTTTGCAAACACACATTTTCATCCAACAAGTTTGGCTGCCAAGTTGCTCTACCTTAAGTCTTTTGCAAGTAGGTTCTGAACTGGAACTCATGTTGGCTTCTGGCAAAAACAGGAATGAAGATGTAAGGCGTGTAATGATTTGGCTCCTGAGAGAAAAGGTGTGTGTGTGAGGAGAACATTTTTCAGCCACACGACAGTTTCACCATGTGGGAAAAATGTCTGCTTAACTTTAAAGAGCAACTTGCAAAATCTCAGAGTGTGTGAGGAAGATTGGTCATAGCAAAAAAGCGACATGGGAAGTGAACAGAGGAAGTCTGAGGCTTTAGGAGAAAATGATAAGCGTAGCAAGGGAGCTGTTTAAAGGGAGGGGTGCAGGGGCAGACATGAACCTCTAAATTTCCCCACCTGCAAAAAGAGGCTGAAAGCTGCAGGGGAATCTTGCTGCCCATGTGAGCATCGTTTCCCATGCAATGCAGAGCCAAGTGAGGAGAAAAGTAATTGCCTTGGATGGGAGGCACGATATGACATGAAATACAAGCACATCTTTTGTGGAATTTGTAAGCCATAAAAGTATTTTAATAACATCTGGTGCAGGGGCGTGTTGAAGCTTAATTAATTAATCCTTGCAAAGGACTTGGAAATTCTGGGATCAAAGGTGTTGCATTAGTGCAAAATGCCATTATTATACCTATAAACGTGTGCTTGTTAACTTAAATGCTATTTATTTATTGCTGCTATATACTTGTATGGCAGTATATATCAAGTATATTACAAACATTTTAAAAGTACACTTTTTCATTGCATAAAGCTGTCCCTATTCAGGTGTTGCTGCTAATGCCACACAGAACCCCTAATTGACTCCGAGAAAGCCTCTGTCTTTGGGGTATATGTGTGTGGTATGTCCCACTCTCTGATATTACTATGGATGCTGCTATGCAAGAGACAAAGATTATGCCCACAGCTGTGACTGAAGCCTGAAAAATGCACATCAAGGTTCATAGGGTAGGGTAGGTGGGTCTGCTCAGTGTGTATTTGGACTAGATGCGTGGAATTGAGGTCTGCCATCTGCCTGCGGTCTTATTTTTGGTGCTTGTTTGTGTATTCCTTGCTTTGTAGCTGGTTATAAATAATAGAAATCCTAAGCAGTGCTCTGTTCCCACTAATTCAGAATTTAGCATCGCAGGTTGTTTACAAATCAAAGGAGCAAAGCACATGCATCTTCAGCAGTCAGTTAGAATGCAACATCTTTTTCTTTTCCTTGTAATGGAGCATACAGTAAAATTATCCTTGCTCCAAGGCTGATTTTAGTTTTTGTTCCATGCTTGACGTTGTGTCTTCCCATAGTTAACTTGGGATCTTCGCCTGGTTACAGGGGGAAAAAAAAGTTTAGAAATGCACTCTGCACCATTATTTAGGCTAAATTTGTAAACTCTGCTCCCAACAACAGCATCATTGTAGATCTTTTTAAATATGGATGAAATATGAGTTTTTCTTTCAAGGTACAAAATGTCATTAAGGGCTCAGGTGGTTAAAATCAACATGAAAAATACATGCTGCATTTTCCCTCCTTAAATGCAATAATGTAATCAGATTTCAAGTCATCTTACCTACCTCACTTACAGCTTTATGGAGATTAATTAGTTTTTAGCCCCCAGTCACATGATCTTTTCTGACTGCCATTTAGCTACATTTGCTATCTGACTTGAACCTGTAAGCTGTCTCCTGCCCCAGAGGACAGATTAAATTTTACTATTGGTTGCCTCCTTCCTTTGATTTAAAGGTAGATAGTTAGAGTCTTAGTTCAATTATTCTTTGTTGTTAATTAGCCGTGCACTGTCATCATTTCTTTGGAAAAAGCAAGAGGAGAAGAAAAATGGCTCAAAAGTGGAAGACAACTTCTTTCCAGGGGCCGAGCTAAATAGGGTTCTCCTGATCAGGTGGAGAGCCATAACAGAGCTTTTAATTCACATCTCTATCACCTCTGGCTGCTTTGTGTTTGCTGGGCTTTTATGGCCGCCGATCAATACAGTTACCTTTCAGTTCAGCAAAGCACATGGGTCAGGCAGGAGGGGAGGAAGGATTTCTGCATCTCTAACTCACAGAGGTGTGAGCTGGTGCATGCCTATCCACATCTCTGGCACTCCGCCTTTGTTTTCCTAATTTTCTCTTTAAATTAACTTAAGCACTTATTCTATAGCGTGATTTTCTGTAAAGGAAATGCTTTATTCCTTGTTAAGAATGATTTCTAAGGCCATTTAATATCTAAGTAAATTCCATTCTCTTCCCCTAAATGTATTAGGTGCAATAAATGTACAGTGGATAAAGGAGTGTGTAGACAAAATCCTGCCCTTAAGTCTGGGTATCCTGTTTATGTCACTGCAATCCTCCTTTCTCAAGAAAGAAGAGCACATTTTGGCCCATACTGTGAAAAGACAAGAACTAGATAAGCTCCAGGGCAAAAAAAGGGAGAGGTGATTTTTTTCCCCCTTTTCTGCTTGTGATTAAAAACAAAGCAAATTATAAAGGGATTTAACTAGTGTTGTTGCTCAGGATGGTGCACTACTGGGCTCCTCAGGAGCATATAACAAAAGATCAAAGGGTTCCTGGCTCCATACAACTAAATCAACTCTAGGACTAGGAGCACTGGTGGCCCAATTTTTCCTTAGGTGAGAACTGGGAGTGAGTTAAGCTAATGAAATTGTTCTCTCTTACACATTAGAAATGTATCAGAGCCAAAGTCATTGAGGCATTTATACGGACATTTCATGGGGCTGCCTATTTGCCATTTGCTTCCTAAATTTTCTACAATTTGCTCTGCAGCACACGCTCACCTTGGTTAAATGGGGCTCAGCTCAGCAATATTCAGCAGAGCTGCGGCGGTTCCTGGCTCCGGCCACCAAAGCTCCACAGGATTTTCACTGCTCAGGTGTTGCAAAGCCTAATCCTTATTCAGGAACCAAAACGCTCCCCTCTCCTTGCCTGCGGTGCTTGGATGCCTGCCTTTGGCAGTAGCCCCAGACTCCTGCAGAAGATGAAGACATCCCTCCATGCCTATAGATGGAAAAGCGCCAACATGGATGCCATCAGAAGGACGCAGCTGAGCATATGCTGAGAAAATTGTGGCATCCATACTGTACATGGGGAAGGGCTGACTGAACACACCAGTTTGTTGAAGCTTATGGCCCTGAAAAGGAAACATAGGTTTCCTGTAAATGTCATTCAGGGATATGCTAACTGTTATTTCCTGGCACTGGATCATGATGCTTTCAACACATTCTGTTCCTCTACCTCTGCTGCTACCTCTGCTGCCTGCCTGCCTGGCTGTGCACAGTGATAGCTCTCCTGTCTTCTCACCTTTCCTCCTCCCCGCACCAGGCAAAGGTAAGAGAGAGTTGGGCAAAGTGAAAAACTGACTTTGTGATGGAGCTTTGAGGAGGAAAAAAAGAAACAGGAAGGGATGACTGGGTGTTGCATGCCTTCCCAGAGTTGCCACTGTCTTGGGGTGTGTTTGGGCCCCATTACTTTCACTCCATTATGAGTGAACTGGTCCCCTGATGCCATTCAGCCATGGCATTTCATTTGTACAGATTGCTTTCAGCCTTAGTGCATATGCTATGTCTCCTTCACTATATAGTCTTAAGAGGCTTCCCTAAGTACCCTTTGCAATATGAGATGTCTCTTTGGTTGTCTGCACTCCTCATCTCCCTCCCTTCCTCCATCCTTCAGGTATTCTGGTTGGGAGGGCCAGTGTCAGCATGCGAGATGACGGACAGAGAGATGAAATCTCAACCCTGTACTCAGCCTGGCTGCTGCCTGTACCTGGGCCTTGCTGCACCATTCCTTGAATGCAAAGCAATTCAAGGAAAAGAGGTAAATTCTCAAAAAAAAAAAAACAAAAAAACAACCCAACAACACTCTAGTTTGGGCTGCTGAGGGCATTATTCCAAGCAAAGGAGCAAAGACCCCCAATCTTTTGTTCCAGTGATAAAGGGGATACGTTATCTCTATTCCAGCTCCGAGCTATATAATACCTCAATGAAAAGCAAGTTTCTCTGTGTAGTGAATAAGGATCATTGTTTCAGGGATAATGAGGCTCCACTCCCTTTTGGCTCCCTCTGAAAGCTCGCAGCCCTGGCGAAGGAGCAGTGCTGAGGGTCCGCCAAGCCTCCCCTGAATGCGGCGGTGACAGGCGTGATTTTCACAGTTATCATTAAGTGGCATGTGAGTGGCTTTGTGAGCCATGTTATACTGTATCAAGGCACCATAAACAAGCAATTGGTATGGGAATGTCACCTCCTACCATCCGCCCTTTGCCATAATGGTATTGTGTTTGATTGATTAGATTTCTTCCCCCTCTCCACAAGTCAAGTCAAGAAAGAAAATAATAAAACTGGCATAATAACTTTACCCATACAAATAAAAACAGAGAAAGAAAAAAAAAAAAAAAAAAGTAGATTACAGTTGGGTACCAGTGGGACAATTTATATTGCACAATTGGGATGAATAGGGCTTTTATTGACGTGATAGGGAACTTGAAGTGGCACAATACTAAGCAGGATCACATCAGGGCAGTCTGGAGAAGTCTGGTTGAAGCTCCAGGTGAAAGCCAGGGAAGAAGCATATTGAAAATTTGCCATCTCTTTCATCTTTGTCTGCCTAAGGATGAATCTGAGTCCTTTCATTCAGGGCTACCTGTGTTTGAGAAGCTCAGGCCTAATAGCTGACGTGACAGACAGTAATAAGGAGCAACCAATTAGCATTGTGATGGTGTGGTTACTTTCAGGTAGTATTTCCATGCACAAAATAATCCCGTTTCCCAAAAACAAACCATTCATACTGGAAACATGGAGCCCTGAGAGGCTGCAGCAGCAGGGATAAGTGCAATGCCTCTCATGGGGTAGTTGTACTCCAGAGCAGCCAAACAAAGGAAATACTGCAAATGCATGAAAAGGAGACAATCTCTAAGAAAGCACTAGTGGTACTGGTTTCTGTGCACCATGCTTATTCCCTGACCAACTGTGGAGCTTAGGAGTGATCAGTTTTGGGTTACTTTATCTGTTCTCCTATGTCTTCTTTGATGCTAAATGTTCAGCATTCGTTTTGCAGTTCAGTCCCTTGGAGAGTGCCCTTTATCCCATTGTTATTAATAAGAATAAATAGGAACAAACAGGCAAAAAGCCAAAGAAAACAAGATTTAAACCAAATGAGTCTACTTTACAACTGGCTCTGAGTGTGACCAGGTTTGCCTGGAGTGGAAACATCTCAAGGCAAATGTTGATGCTTAATGCAAGGATATTCTTTACTGTACAGATGCTTATTCCGGCCATTTTTGGAGGCAGAAAAGAGCACGGCATACTCTGTGCCACGTGTGAGGAATCACTGCTCATGTAGGATGTACTATTATTTGATACCTGTTATTTACTAACACAGTGGAACTAAAGACCTAGGCACTGCTGGACCCAGTTCACGAATATTTATTGCACCAAATCCAATCTATAATATAGTGTCAGCCTTGTACCAAAGCAGGAGACAGTAGTATTTATGATTATTAGTACAATATTGAATCATCCTGAACCAATTACTGGTCCAATTACTGTGTCATTATTATCTTCTGAATAGGGCTTGATTTGTCTGTGATAAATATGATGCAATTAAACTACCTTTTTACATAATAAAACACTGCAGGTGTTTATTCTTAAGGGTTTACGGATACCAACAACCAATAGATTTAATTAAAAAAATCCTTGAAATAAATGTGAATTTCATTAAATTGTTCTAGCACTGGTGAATATTTTAAGACTATCAAAAGATTCTCTCTCTATAATCTCTCTTAAAAGGCATGCTAAGTGGAGAAAAACAATGACTCCAGCTTTTAATATTTCAATAATTAATAACATTTCTTTCAAGAATGTATAATTGGTCTGTAATAGTAGAACTTAAGAAACAAAAAAAGTTATGTGGGTCAAATTGCTATTACTGTTGTGGGATTCTGGCTTAACAAGAAATCTTACTAAATTCTGATTTCTGCTCAGTAATTTTAAATTGAATCTCACATTTTTAGCATTATGGTCATAAATATTATGTTGACTTAGCTCTGGTTTGGTACTAGCAGTGTGTACAGAACTACAGTGAGATGGTTTTGTATTATGTGAAGACAAGGTCATTAACATGAAACCTTACCTGGAATTATCTCGTCTCGAGATAAATAGTTGGAGCTTTAGCTATGAAGTAGCTCAGGTCAATACAATGTAGATGTGAATTAAACCCATTGCTAGGCCATTCTATGCTGTAGAAAGGGAAGTTTCCCTTCCAGTTTGGCAGCTGGATTGCCCTAGTGCACAGGGTTCAGACATGTAGTACCAGTATTGCCATTCTCCATCCTCTCTCCCAACTGTGGCTGTAGTCAGTGCTGGCTCATCAATGCTGTGTGTAAGTTGAATTTGTCTTTTCTTTTTTTCCAATTTGAATTGCAATAGTTTCCAATGTCAACAGAAGATCTGTAAGGGGATGCTTGGCACTGGCAGGCCTTCTTCAAGGTTTCTTTAGCAGCACACCCAGCTAAAGTCAGGGCAGGTAGGATCTCATAACCCAACCTCGCATGTATGGCTGGAGAGGAACTTAGTAGAGCTAAGCATGGTGGCCAGCTGTAAGCCCCCAAACCACACTCATGGTGGTGAAGCCCCTGGAGCTTCAGACTTAAGCGCAGCCCCAGACTTAAGCACACCCATGAGCAGAGGATGTGTTGGCCAGGAGATGCCATAGCTCTAGCTCCATTCAATGTTCAGGCTGCAGCACAGGGCAGGATGAGTACCCATGGGACGTGTTACTGCTCTGCAGCCCCACGATCCCACCCATCAATCTTCCCCTTGGCATGGAACACGGTGTATGACAAAATAAAGCTTCTGCATGAAGTTTATTAAGCAAGACAAGGTCAGGCTTTTAGTTGCAAGGCTGGAAACGAAAGGCTACAAGCAAAACAAATATAAACACAATCCCAGCCGAAGCTTAAACAACTGGATTCCTTTTCAGTTGTCTTGTCCAGTTTCTCAGATCCTGAAGACAGAGTGCAGCTGTTGGGATGTGAAGCATCCTAACTCCTGCCCTGAATCCCAATCCAACAGTCAGACACAGGGCTGGCGGCTTGGCTTATCTTCTCATTCCCTTCTCTCTTCTTGGGGCACGTTTGCACTCTTTGCGTCTGCAACCAGAACAACAATTTAGTGGTGACCCCACAGCATGCACAGTGTGCCTTTTCTCTGGGATACTGCTGCAATCCCACTTTTATTCTTTAATCCCACCTCAAGGGGCGACTTTCTCATCCATCCTTGCTCCCTAATTTCCAAATCAGGAGTAAATGCCTCCTATTGCATCGCTCTTGCTGTGTATGTAGCACAGCCAGAGTTACTAGCACTATGCACTGCCATGCCTCATAGGGGTTTCAACACCAAAATTAGGAGAAGGAATGACATTAAACAACACTTTTGACTTGTTTGCAAGCTAAAATCAAGGCTGATTTTAGGCCAGAAACTTCTGCTGCCAGAAGCACTTAAATGGCCAGGTCATCTGCATGTGCAGCGTGAACAAGGGGCGTTGCATGCTCTTGGATGCTGGTGCTCTGCTTTATAGTAGTCACAGCCCTACACCAAAGTACAAATCAATAAACACTGAAACAGAACTACACTGAGTAGGAGAGCAAAAGTATGGAACAAAAAAAGAATAACACAGCCCTCCCAAAAATGGCAATTGAAAGGAAGCATTCTGGATAAGTAACTCCAATAATTATTTCAAAGTAACCAACAAAGTGGAGTCTCTACTGCAATCCTTTGCCCTTCAGGGTGGCCATATGAGGTTCTGAGGATTTGTTCCCTGGGATGCATGGTGTGCCAAGCAGCATACGGTAGCATTGCAGGTCTAAAAGAAAGAGTATTAACGGATGGATAATTGCCCACCTTGTAAAAATTTACTGGGAACCTGATGCTTTTATCATTTGTCACAAACAATGCCACGGTGTAATAATGAAGGAAGTATCACTGGTACTATAAAGAAGTGATGGTGCAAATTACACTTCACTTTTGAGGGACGATGTTAAGTAGCAGGGAGTTCCCTTTTTTTTTTTTTAATTGCCAAAATTTCAGTAATTGTCAATGTGTATTTGTGAGGATCAACTGATAATTTGGAACATATGCTGTCAATGCTTCATTTTCTCTATATTTTTAAATGAAAAAAAAAAAAAAAGTCCAATTTCACAGTGGCAAGATTAAAAAAAAAATCTCATTTTGTTTTCCTGTCTGTAGTGTTAAGAAAGGAAGTTCATTTCTTGCAGCATAAAGGGATATTAATGAATGCAAGGAACATTCTCCATATTGCAGAATAAAATTTACTGTTCTAACCTAAGATATTTCATATAAATTAAGAGTTTGTTTAAAAAAATCGAAAATGGGAACTCAATTCCAGACAACGCTTAATTTAAACTAAGTGTTAAAATAAAAGCAATAACACTGTGAATAAATTAATGAACTACAATTAAATATATTTACAATAAGTGGTTTGGTTGGAAACACCTATTCCCTGCACTGATAAAATAAAACCTGCATTCTGCAAAAGCTGAAATAAGTTAAATGAAGATGCTTTTAACAAGGTTATTACTTAAGCAGTGACAGGTTTACAGATTTTAGCACCATTGGGTTTTCACAGGAGCTGCAGCAAGTGCTAAAATAACACACACCTTCAGGTTCATTAAATTCACCAGTGTGATGAAATAACTGATATTTTTCTATATTACTACAGTGCTGCAAAGAACCGACTATAAATAAGATACACTAATAACAACTGTTTGCAGTGCTAAAACAATAAAATAATTCTGCCAGGCTTATATGCTAAGGAAGAAATAGGCACAAGGCAGACTGTGAGCATAGTTATATCCATATGGTGGCTTTTGCTCCATTGGTACTGTGCCTTCAGTCATTTATTTATCACAGAAATGCCCTAGAAAATGTTTTATTCTTTGCTGTGCCAGGAAGAAACTTGTTAAAAGGGTACATGAGGAGAGTGCACCCATCCCAAAATATTTGCTTTCTAGTCTGGTGAAGCGTTTCCAAAGTGAAGAACTAATTTTTAAGAAAGAACATTTCAGATGATACTAAAATCCCACATTATACTCTGTTTTGGAAAGAACCCATGCCGAAAAAAGCAGATTTCTAATAAATCAATGGAGTATGGCCTTTGGAGACCTGGGAGACATATGGACGGTAATAGAGTATCTCAGGTTATTTGGTGAACGGTTCCATCTGGATGAGGGCTCGGTGCTGTTCACAGCCCCCTTCTCTCTCAAACACCTTCCACTCTCCCTGCAGCCCTATCTCAAATGTCAGACCACCTGGGATCTGCAGCTGTCGGCTGAAAGCGGAGCTGCTGGGTGAAAACCCACTGAGCTCGGGCTGCAGGGCTTGTGCTGGGCACGGTGTTCAGTGCCTCCTTCCATTTTAGGTACATGTATTTTAACTGCATATGTGTGCACATGCAAACATGAATATGCACACCTGGTAACTGGGATACCCATTTGCAATGCCAGGTTTGGTTCCTGCAGGGAACCCATATTCAGAGCAGAAGCTATGTGAAAGGGGATGTTGCCCAAATTTTGCAGTGCTTTATCTTCTGTGCAGCTTGGCTCTCCGGGAGCAGGAAACCATGTTTCAGAAATACAGGCCATATCTAAGTGGTTACACAGATCACAGAATTTCTTTTCCCAAATGTTGTAAGGGAGTGATAGTGTTGCAGTATGGGAAATCCACAGGGCTTGATCCATCCCACTGCAAAGCTGATATATTTTGCATGGAATTGGGAGAACAGGGCAGGAGACCACTGAGGTTTGCAATCGCGTCACTCCTTCAAGCGATGGAGATTTGAGTGCATGGGGTCCAGCAGTGCATGCACAGAAGGTTACACCTCTCTGAGATGCTGCCTGAGCTCCCCACAACATCCACTATCTAAAATTACAGAGAAAAAAATCCTGTGTAACCTCAGCTAGAGTATTTTCTGACAGTGGCTTAAGACTTCTATGCCTACCCAAACTCATCCTACCTTGATTTTATATCTCTATCAATCTTTTTTGGGGGGAAAAGCTTGAAGGTATTTATTAATTTGTCTAGAATTTTTTGTGAAACGTGGGGAAGATTTGGTGGGAAAGCTTTTGGGGAGTGAATTGGTTCTGTGTGCCTGGCAGCTGTTAATAATTTATACTTCACGTGAAAAGAAAATTGATCAGGAGCATCCTGGAGAGACCAATCCATGCTGCCTCTGCCATCAGCTGAGACAGAAACAAAACACGAGGCATGAACTGAAAGATAATGCACAAAAAAAGTGCTCCCCCTCCCAATCCAAGCAGCATGGCTGGTGAGGATGTTAAAGGGAAGAGCAGCACAGCATCCTTTGAAGCCCAGTCATGGAGACAAGGTTGTGGGAAATGGTCCTGCAGCGAAAAGTGGTCAAAAGTTCTTACAGTGAAGATGAGGGCGGCTCCGTTTCCTGAAGGCAGCACTCCACATCAAACAGCCCTTTGTGGAAAGGTTGAAAACGCACTCATACTGGGATGAAGATGAGCTCCAGCACCTGGGGCTGGGTGGGAGGTCAAAGAAAGAGTGCTGATGGACCTGTTCTGTGAAATGTGTTTACATTTCCTACCAAAGAAATGGTCAGAAATGATTCCCAAATGGAATCTGGGAAACATTTGTTGAGCTTCAATTTCATCCTGTGTCCACTGATTCAACCCTTGTTTTCTCTGTGCCATTCTTTCACTTAAAGTAACCTCTGTTACATTAGAAATCACACGTTTCTGACCCAGAAAGAGAGGAATTTCACAGCCTCCCAGGACACGTGCTGGAGGGAGGATTTCTGGAGCCTAAACCAGAGAAGCCCAGGAGATGCTGGTGTGAAGGCTCACTGCAAGCATCTGCTGCTTCTGGAGGAGGTCCTGTGGCAATGCATGTGCTCAGGATGAATAGGTAAAGCTATCTTGTACTAGTAGATATTTTTCCCTCTGGTTTATACATATTTGAAAAGCTACACATGAATAAACACATAAATTAATGCTAGATGTACTTCTTATCCGTGCAAGTGTGAGCTGTATGTATACAGATACACATACAAATATGGGCATAGTTATCAGCCTTGGTTATCCTACTTGTTAAGGTAATTGTGTCATTTAAATTCTGTCACACTTGCTTCAAGACAGATTCATTAACTGCTCCTATTTATTACTCCAGCATCCGAGCACCTGTTTCTTAGAGGTAAAATCAGAATAAATCCCCTAATTTCCCAGGTTCTTTTGCTGTTTTTGCTTGGAAATAATGAGATGCTTATATTCAAAGAAAAAAAATGATGTATCTGATGCTGAAAAATACAATCAAGTTAATTATTTAGGTATACCGAGGTGAAATTATTGAATTTGTTTGTCTGTGTAGATTGCGTTCTTTGTGCTGGCGTAAGAACTGATGCTGGCCAAATTCTGTGAACACAGTTATTATCATATTTAGTATCTTAAACGTGTGCATACCTAACTGCTTTATACGTGTTTGTGCTTCTGACAGATCAGACTGTCTAAGAGAAAGCATTTCTAGTCGCAGTATCAGATTGCTTACTGCTCTCTCCACAGTCAGCTAGATCATAAGGAGAAGAGGAAAGAACTACAGAAGCTCTGACTAACATTTTTTTTTCTCTCTATTTAGGAATTGAAGTTAGCAGAAGAAACAACTCCTTTGTAGTAATGCTCTGTAGGTGTTATCAGGGCTAATCTTATGGTGGCTCTAAGGACTTTTGGACTAAGGTTTTAGTCCAAAAATTTTACTGCTCAGGTCCATGCTACCCCATTTGTCAGTTGTTTACACCCTACATATGGATTAGCACTGTATGCTAACCATGAAAACCTGTTCTGCTCTTAACCCACCTGAATGAAGCACTGATGCAGCTCACCACATCTGATATTTATCTTTACTTCCCTAAGATGCTGGACCACAAAAAGCAGGAACAGGTACAGGTGACTTGGTAGTGTAAAAAACTCTCCCCATGTTTTATCCATCACTGAATGTCAAGTTTAAAGATGTTTGTAATGATTTGCCACTGTTGAAATCCAAAGTAAGACTCGGAATGTGTCTGTTTTGGCCAACTAGTAATGACTGCTTGAAAGACATTGAACCAAAGTACTTTTGGACAACTACTGGTTCACTGCCTGAAAACAAATCTTTTTATTTATTCTGTCTCCTATACCCACTGTTCAGATTTCCTTCAGGAAACATACCTTGGCCCCTGTCCACCGTCAGATAGTTGGGAGTGAGGTGGTCTTCGCAGTGATTAAGCACAGATTTTGCAGAGAAGGGATAAAGCGTCGTGGGCAAGGACCTGTGGACTGAAAGTCAGAGTAACTGCAATGCAATGCCATCACCCCATCTCACAGCTCAGAGCCTTTGCACATCTCATGGGCTGCCTGCAGCCTACACAGTTCACAGAGTGGAAAAAGGAATTGAAGAAGCAAAAATAAATATTGAATCACGTAAGAATTAAATATCACCTATTTAAATAGCAATTACGCTGCTAAAAACAAGATCACCACACCTGTACAAGAAAAGACAAGCAAGCCCAAAACATCTGTTTGCATCCACCTGCCAAGCACCTGTTCCGCTGTTTCAATGCCATTTGATTGCTGGAGATGTAGAGGCTCTTGTGAGGTAATGAGTGATTTTACATTATGCATGATTGAAAACAGGTGTTCTAATGCTGTACAATTCTGTGCATGAATAATTCAGTTTGTTTAGAGCAAGATCTTTAAAAGAAGTATGGTCTTTATTTTTTTTAAATATTAAAGTTATTCTCTGCAATGTGCAGTGGCTGGTCTTCTCAGCAGGAGCACTGATGACCATTTTTGTATAATTCTATGGGCAGGAAAAAACACTGTGAAAGGTAAAAAAAATAAAAATAAAAAAAAATTATACCTAAGGCACACAAGCAATGAAATTGAAAGTTTTCTTTAGCAAGGAGGGGAAAAAAAACCTGTCACTGTTTTAAGCGAGAAAGCCAGACGACTTTTGGCAAAGCCTGCTTCTCAACACTAACAAAACAGCCCAAGAGCTTAATTATATGGAGGGGTGAATGTGCCTCAGGGATAAGTAAGAGCTAGTCCATCTCTTGGTCCGATTTCCAGCTGAGTCTGAATATGTTTAAGAATTTGGGCTGCTTTTTTTTTTTCCTCTCTCTCTTTTTCCTCCTGATTATGAAAAGGATTTCTGTGCAGTTGTATGCTTTGTGCTGGTACAAGATGCTGCAGACTCAGGTCTTTATTTGCAGGCCGGTCGTCTCACAGGGAACTGTATGCAGAATCCATCAGCCCACGCTCCTCATCACGAACTCAGTTGTTCTTTGAGACCATCTCCCAGAGATGAGGAAGATGTGTTAATCCAAATGAAGAGACGCAGCCAAGCTTGGAGCATCCTCTCTGCTGCTTCCCAAGGTAAGCCTGCAGCTGGCGTGGCCTCGTGCCTTCAGCCAGGGCTGTTTTGAGGTGGGAACAGAAGAAGAGAGCAGCCAAGGGTTCTCCTGCCCCAGCATGTGCCTGCTCCCCCCTTGCTTTCTCAGTAATTAGTGTCAGTGATGGTGTTAGATGCTATTACGGGAAGATTCTGCTGAGAACAGAGCTGAGCTCTCCATGTGCACTTCCCAGGGGAGCTCTGGCACTTTGTCCTCTTTCCCCCCTCTCACTGCAGCCACTGCAGCAGCTTCTTGGACTCACAGCTGATTTGATGCTGTGTTTGAAACAAAGCTGCTGGAGGGTATTTTATACCTGAGGGGTCACATCCTGGGACAGGCAAGGACCAAAGAAGTGGAAGAGGCTGCCAGCCCTGCCAAGGTATTGTGGTGAACAGCCTAAAATTTTGGTGACAGCAGCGTGGAAGGTGGAAGGGGACAAAAACTTTCAGATCTCCTCAACAGTCACGTCCTGCCCATTGCCCTTGATGGGGCAACAAAATGAGGAAAGAGTAAGAGAGGAGAAAAAGATGAATAATGTGAAAGTAGGAATGGATGAAGTCAAGAGGCCAAAAGAAATTCATAAAGCATGCTGCAATAAGCAATTCTTAACACACACTGCAATGCCCTGTGCTAAAGAAAGACTGTACGGTGATGCTAGGACACTGATATTTAGTACTGCAGGTATAGAACCTTCAAATTTTAGATCTTGTGGCCATCAGGGTTCGTGGAGTGGGTTTGAGTGTGCAGTGTAGGGTAGAACAAGAGAGGGTAAAAAATCCAAGAGTCCAAAACAGCACAGTGTGCCTCAGGTCCTCAGTGGGTAGACAGGGATAACTTAAGCTCTGTGCCCTGCACTTCCCAGGAGATGTCAGCCCAGGGTTCCTGCAGGACTAAAAGCCTCCATGGCCATGCTTGGCTAAGCAAGCAGACATTTAGGGGTTTAACTGAAGTGGATCTGTAATCTTTCAGTATTTTATAATACAGTATGTTACAGGAGACCATAAATTAGAGCTTATAATACCCGATCCGCTCAGCTACTGACAGAATATCTAAGGTAATCTGACCTGCTTCACAGACCGTGAGAAAAATCCTCATGGAAAGTGAAAGAGATGAATTACAGAATTTTACAGAGAAGTGGGAGAATTTCTCTCGGCTCAGATCTTGGGTTAATTCCCATGTAAGGTGAAAGAATGTTTCACCACGTTTTGCTCAACTGAAGTTGGCAAGCTTTAATAGATGCAGCCCTGCAGGCTGAGGGATAAACTCTGCTCCCTTTCACTCACTTGAGCCATTGCCCATGTGATCAGCAATGTGGGTAATAATAAAATGAAGGAAATAAGGGAACAGATCTCCGAGAGAAAGCAAACGATGGGACGAAATGCTGCAAAATGTCTGAAGAGGTTTTTTTTTTCTCATGAGGAGGAGGGATACATCCTGGTCCTCTGCCTCCTCAGTAAGGAAAGCATTTCCTTTCTGCTCGGAGCTGTTGTTCCTCCTTGTCACAAGCAGAGAATAAATGCAGTCTCATAATTACAGCATGCTGAAGGTGGAAGCTTTTCCTAAAGATGTACAACTCTTTTTTTTCCCTCCTGGTAATAGCTGATCTATAGAACTGTGATTGTTTCAAATGGAAGCTAGCAGTTACTTTCTGTTTTCTGCTTTAAGTCTTTATGTTTGGGAAATGTGTCTCCAGAGATGCCTCCTTCTCTCACCTCTTCACATAACAGTGAGAGGTGCCAGCAGCTCTTTTGCCACTTTTCTAACTATTTCCATTCCCCTTCTAGGTACTTATGTTTCATACTTGCTCTCTCAGTCAATTCCTGCAAGAACTAAAATGTGGGTCTTGGTCATGTTACGTTGGATGCTGATCTCTGAGCCAGGTCAGGTGCCTGCAGGCAGGAAAATATTTGGTTTTCTGCCATCATTCTGTGTGTCACACCTTTACTGCAAGGTGTCCAAAGGAAATGAACTTTTCCAGAAAAAAAGCCCAAAGAAAATCTTTGGAGTTTCTCTTTTGTGAGTACGTCTGTGTGACCCAGGCCTTCTGTGAGGTTTCTAGATGAGGCACTGGTAAGATGAATGGGGACCTTTGTGTTATCTGTGATGGGGCAGAAAGCACACAGCTTCCAAAGTCTTTTGAGGAACTCAGATGGAAGATGTTACGCAAATCCAAACCATGCATTTTTTAATACCTCCTGTGATTTATTTGATAAATGTGTCATCTTTACCTTCCAACTTCTTTGGCCTTGGTTTCTTTTCAAGAATTAACCAGGAGCTGATGAATTTATGGGAAATTTTCCAGTGCTGACCAGATCTGAGATCTTGATATCTGTGTGCACTTTCTCAAGGTACCAGTAGTCCCATTTCCTAAACCAGTAGTACACTCCTTCTTATTCTCAGTCATTATTGTGTTGAAACTGCCAAGTGTTCTTTCCACCTCTTTAATTTTGTTCTCAGAAGAAATCCTTCACTTCTTTGTATGCAGAGGCTGCTGTGGTCTGGATCTCATCTCGTCTACTAGTAACATCTTCCAGATTTGTTTTAAACTGATTAGACGCTGCTGAAGAATCAGCTCTCTCCCCCGGACAGTACAAAGCAGAGTGCTGGCAGAGCTGGCTCTTGGCCATCAGCTACATGGTGACACAGCATCACATCACTTGACAGCCCCAGTTTCATTTGGGGAACTGTGAGACATTCACATGTGCTGAAAAAAATAAAAATAATACCCAAGGTGACAGGAGGGTGCAATTAAAACAGAAGCGCCAGCTTGACCAGAGAGTAGCTTTAATTGGAGGCCTTCTTCTATATGCTGGAACACGGACTCTAAAAGGTATTTCTGTCCTTCTAATGTGGCTGCATTTCTGCCTCTGAATTTTGATTTTGAAAAACAGAAAATGATGCTTTTTATTGGGCCACTGAGAGAAATTACAGGGAATGAGCTGAGTGAATTTAAAATTCTCTCAGTAGGGTATGAAGGCAGGGAAATACTTGTCCCTCCATAGCTCAATAACTTCTAGTGCAGGTTAGACATAGGGACACTCATTCCCAGTGCTCACCTAAGCATGGAGGTTCATGTAAGTGAGGATCACGTGTTGTCACCACCTCGCTTCTCTGCTGGATGGATATCACCCTCACTTAAACGTAAGGAGGAAATTCAGAAGGTCACCACATCAAATACTAATTCTGAAATTCATTTCTCCCTAAAGATTAATATAAAGCCCAAAATGAAATACTCTTCAAATAAGCAAAGTTAGCTGCAGTATTTCAGTCTTCCCATCACAGTGTCCTAAGAGGTATCCTGTGGTTTGACACATAATTAATATGTTTATCTATCTTTGCTTTTTTTTCATTCTTTGTTTTCAATAACAGCCATCACCATAATAGTCAAATATAAACATTCCATCCTGTTTCATAAAGAGCCTAAGGTCCGCTTTATTGCAACACAGTTACTTTCCCAGATCCCACGAGCGACAAGGCGTGATGCCTCAAAAAAAATTCTCTGAAATTTTCTCACCGTTTTTGCTTGAAGTGAGTTGCATTCTGTTTACAAACTTGGGAAAAATGGGCCTCTTTTGCCTTCTTTGAGTGTCATGGGAACACATACCGAGGTCTGATCCAGTAGCGCTGCGTGATGCTGCTGGGAGCTTCTCAGGGTCCCATAATTTGCCCCTGAGGGTGTTTCAGGATGCGGTGTAAAGTTGCATGCTGTTTGCCATGTGCAAGGTCCCAGACACATGGCAAATCAGACTGGCTCCAGTATCAAAAGCTGATCATTTTTCAGACAAACATAGGTATGATTTTTGTTATTTATTCACGTTGAAAGGTTAATATGTCCTCATTACTCTAAATTATTTCATTTTCAACTTACAGTACGTTCATGGATTATTTGAAGGAATTACTGGCTTTAGCTTATGTTATCTGTGACTCACTTTTTATAGACTTGACTGGACAGGTAATTTCCACAGTATTGTTTTTGGCTCCTTAACTGGATCCCATCCAAGCTTACAAAGTGCTTCTACAGAGATAATGGAGAACAGTCCAGCCTCCTGTGAAATGTCAGCTCTGTGTCCAGAGCTAGATGTGCAGCATTAACCTGGTTAAAGCTGCTAGGTTCTGTAATTTCTTGCTTGGAAGTACCAAACACCCTAAAGAATCACAGAATCACAGAACTGTAGGGGTTGGAAGAGACCTCCAGAGATCATCGAGTCCAACCCCCCTGCCAAAGCAGATTCCCTACAGCAGGTCGCACAGGTAGGCATCCAGGCAGGTCTTGAACATCTCCAGAGCAGGAGACTCCACAACCAAAGACACCAAATCAAATCTGCCAAAAGCAGGAAAGAAAGAGCAAATGGGAGACTCAGAGTGAGAAAGAAAAGTAAATGCAATGCTATTACTTTACACCAAAGAACTGTAAGTTAATTGATGTCCATAATAAACTTTCAGTAGAAAAGTATTAAATATTTTTGAAGATGTGTGTAAATCCAGTATTGGGAAAAAAAAAAAAAAAAAAAAAGTTACTGTTATCTGGGTTTAATCAGCTGAGAAAAGCATGATGATAAATAAGATTTAGTGGAAGCATAAATTGAAAATGTCGAATAATACTTTTAAGAAGGGAGCCTACTGGAATACGTATGTCTCTATGTCTCTGAGGTATTTGATTTGGAATATATAATCATCTCCTTTGAGGATATTTATGAAAGTTATTTCTGAATGTTCAGAGGTTTCTCTGCTTTTCATTATCTGTTTTTCTTAACAAGGGCCAGAACTGTATGCCTGATTTTCTGTGATATATTCACTTGGGAGGTTTTCTTGGACTGGCCAAGGACACATCATTTACAAGAAGGTCCTGTCAAGCATCCAAATGTCTCTGCTGAAGCTTCCATTTTAGATGACCCCACAGAATGTGAGAAAACCTTCTTTTAGGGGAATGGCATCTTCTGGCCAGAGCTTTGTCCAGAAATTCTACTGTGTTTAACCCGCAGTTGAAATACCCAATGCAAAATAATGGCAGAGGTAGGGGCGATGTATTTGTGTTTTCTCAAGAAAGAAAACTCTAACCCTTGGGATGATATTTTTCACGTGCGTGATTACCTTCATTGCAATTTGGATTTCTGAGAAGGTCATTTGGACTTCTGGGCCCCATGTTCTGGAGAAATCTGAAGAATTTGGGTCATCTTCCTCTCTTGACTTAAAAATAACTTCTGTTAATGCAATTTGGAATGCGTATTTCTTCGAATATGCTCTTCCATTTGCAGAGGGGGCAAAGTTTACAATTTTGGGTGGAAACCATGTGAAAGCTAGCGGTTCCATCAGGGTTTTGTTTTGAAATTTTTGGATTTGTTCAAATTCAAAAGTCAAAGTGAAACTCGGGGGATGTGAACCCGCTTGAATCAAAACCAAAAAAGTGATGCGCCAGATCTCCCATGAACCAAAACCACCGGCTTCTCACAGTTCTCATCCAAACAAAAATGCACTAATATAAATCAAATACCAAACCAAATATCCTCTTTTGCACTGTCTGGTTTTCATGGAAATAACACAGAATATTTAAAAGGTCTGCTCAGTTTTGCAGCAGCAACTACCAAAATATCCTGAGATCATTTGATATCTGGCAGTTAATATCCTGATCTATTCTCTTTAGTCAGTAATCCAATCCTTTTCGACCAACACTGCCTTGGCGTGCACAGCATTACTATCCTTTAACATCTTCCTCGATTGTACAGTTTCACAGGGAAAACTGTGCACAATTCAGTCTTTCTCCTTCTCATTCTTGCTCAGAGAGCCAAGAAAGGAGTTGGAGCTGCAAGCAGATGCAAAATCCAAACAGTAAGATCAGTACGGAAGCAGAACACTTAACTGCTATAGGACAAGGTGGAGTACTGAGAAAATATTCAATGATAATTTTCCTTGTGATTTACCTTGTTTGAGACCATACTATGACTCTGAAAGATGTTCTGCAGTATATCATGTAGCAAAAAGTTTCTAAAGCCATTCAAAAAAAAAGTGCTGGGCATGGAAGAACAGAGGTTTCCTCTGTAACTAAGACACGCTTGTTTGCAATAACACGTGCTTTCAAACATTGCCAAGTTGCTGAGGATATCTCTGTTATATACAATCATGAAAAATGTGTTAAAAAAAAAAAAAAAGGTAATGTTAAAAAAAAAAAAAAGCTAAAAAAAAGTTTGATCAGATGGTTAAAATCCAGTCAAACCTAAAACAACCTGTTTATGACCTTTCCATGCTAAAAGCTAAAAATGTCTTTTTTTTTTTTTTTTTTTTTTTTTTCCCCACAAGATTAATTACCATCACTTTGGGAGTACTGAGCTGGACATTATTATATGATGTCAATTAATGATTAAAAAAAAGGTGGTTTGCAAATGTAGCACCACAGTCCCTGGTGCATTACATCATTTCTGAAAGATCTTAACACGTGATAAGCAGAGAACATTTTAACCTAAAAGTCTGAGTGTTACAACCTCCTTTTCTGTTGTAACACCCTACCCACAACCTTTTGGCCTTGAAGTCACTCGCAATAAAATTAAGAAGTCAAAAAGAAAAGGGAAAAAAAAAACACCTCTGGGAAAGACAAGACACATTCCTATTTTGCTGTCGGGCAGATAATGCAGCAAAATGAGTGGCTGTATGCATTGGGAAACGCAGAGCTGATCCTCCTATGTGCACTGTTCTCAGCAAGATTCGTCATCAAAATCTCATGCTTGGAGGCATAAGGTTGCTGTGATTCAGGTATTACAAACTACATAATACAGTTAGCTCTGTGAGAGTGCCTCGAAAATTTCATGTGCTGAGTGAAATGACTCCTGCACTTGCCTAGGCGCTGCTTCCCCAGATGGGCTGACAATGATCATTTTATGTGCCTTATTGAATTCGCTGAAATATTTAGAAGGGTTTCTACCTATATTTTACATCTCCTTCTGTTATGACCTTTTTTTGCAGCAACAGTTTGACTTCTTTGTCAATAATACACATAACCTGATCCATTCTTCTCTGAGCTCTTCTCCTCTTTTGGTGTCAAAATGTTTCTTTGTAAATGAACGATATGCATTTAAAATACCTTTGTAATAATAAATACCACACGAACATATGTATCAAGGAAAGGATTTCAATTTTGATGACACTTCCTTCTCAAGAACAGACATTCTGGAAGAAAAAAACATTGCCAGCCCCAAATTGATTGACATTTGTTTACTTAACTCTCTCTTCTTGAAAGTCTGCACACCTATTTCAACCTTGAACAGTTTCCAACTGTGGTATACTGGAACATTTTTTCATTTATTAAGTTCAGTGTTGCCAACCCAAACAAAGAGTAATCAGTGATGATCCAAGCAGACCAAGCTGTCTAGCACCATACAATGTATCTGCATGCTAATTTTCAAATTCCCTCACATTTCCAGAGAACTAATGGGATCATTTTCATTCTGTTACAGCAACTCAACAGTTACTGAATCACCATCTGTGTTTTCGTTAACCTGAATCAGATATGAATTCTGTTATTGCAAGGTAGAGCAGCTTGTTTAATGATTCTTAATCTTTTCTTTAATTAAATCATGCAGCCAACCTGAAAAATCTATCTTAATGCAAATTAGGAGCTTTTTTGGCATTCACTTACAGTAATGCACTAATAAGGTTAATTTATGAAGGTTCTCTTCCAGTCTGTACAGATGATATTTGTTCGCTGCATATTTTTAACATATTGTCCCTTTTTCTAATATTTAAAAAAATATCACTAATAAAAAGGGGGTTGTTTTCACTCACACAAAAGAGGAAGGCTGCAAGCTGCTTTTTGTTTATTAGAAAGAATTCGGAAAAGGAAAATCAGTTTCTCCCCTCCATGAGCATCTCTCCACGCGGGTGCAGAGGGACAAATCGAGGACTGCTGGGTTAAATGGTTTTGGATGAGCACTCTCCACTTCACAGAGAAATTCAGGCCCCAGTTCAGATGAGCATCTTGAAGTTATCAGGGGAGACCGAGAGTTTCTCTGAACCTTTTGTTTTTTGTTTTTTGTTTTTTTTTTTTTTTTCCTTGTAGGTGTGAATTAATAGCATAAAGAGTAAATAATTCTTGTGAAATTAGCCTGAATACTTTTCTCAGTTGCACAATTGCTTCAGCTCGGGGCTCTGATGATCTCAGTCAAGAAAATTTCTGTCTTTGAGCGCATTCCTCCCAACTGCAAAATTAGTTGAAATCTGTTCAAGTTGCTGAGTAAAGAGTAAACTTTTTTTTTTTTTTCTTTTAAGGTTATTTTTCAACACCCACAAGCAAACAGGGATGGCGACTGTGAATTTCAACACACGGCCATTGCTATTTAATTAAAATCACTGAGGCTGGCTGAAAACTTTTCAGCAGAGTGATTTCACATCAGAGAACACAGATTCTCAAAATCAGAACATTATTTTCATAGAAATCCACCCCTCCGTTTCCACCAGGAATGAGATTTCAGTTCTAGGAAAGGTCTTCTCATCCCAGCTAGGAACCATCATCCCCTTTTAGATTGGGGCTGCCCAACTGTGTCTTTCAACCCCTCTCTGTATTGCCAGCTGTAATTGCTCCATTGCTCCAGTTTGAGTGCATTAACTATTTGCACAATCCAGGACAGGAGGTCTTGTCTAAAGACTGGGCAATCTCCATGGCTGTGACCCTCTGTGTTTCACTAAAGGCAGGACAGAATGCCTGCTGGATGGTTGAATCTTCCTCTTGTTCCTTCTGACCAGGAATGGAAACAATATCTCATACTGTTTGTGCAGTGATTCCTGGCTTGTTAATATTCTGGTGTGGCTGTTTTTCTCTGCCGTGAGGAATTTTGGCCTCTTAGCAAGGGGTTTTGCCTCTGTGTAAGTGGGAATGCTGCTCTTCCTTTTCTCCTCTTCAATCTGGAAACCTATTTTCCTGCCATTGTTAGTCCTTTCTGTGTAACATTAGCAGAGAGAATGAAAAGTATCTGCTTTCTTTCCCATTCAATCAGACCTATGTATATTATATCATATGCTTCTCTTCCTGCTTTACCCACTAGTAAAATAAGTCGATATGTGAATATTAGGATAAGATTGCTTTAATTAGAACCTATTGCCCTGCACACTGTCTTCTCTAAAAAACTACCTGTATTAAGATCTGGGGAAAATAAGTCTTAAAGAAAATTTCCTATGACAAATTTTTTTACTTCACCCTCCACCCTCTGCTTCCCAGCCCTTTCAACTTTTCAAGTATCTTTAAACATACATGACCCACCCCTGTTGCTTCCTTATATTTTATGGTGATCTTTAATTTCATTTTTAGGGAGGGATTTCTCTCCATTTTCATTCCTTGGCTTATCTTTAATGAAGTGGAAAACATCTACTGAATGGGATGGTACCTGATGCTTACAGTTTTCCTTACTTTACAGTATTTTCTCAGGTATTAAACTAGCACTGGACTCAACTAAGAGGAGTGATCAAACTATCTGCTAAAGAACTCAAACAGGAACTGGAAGCTGAACTTCAGAATCACGAAGAGCACTGCTACAGCATGAGAAAAATCTGGATGAAGACATGAACTGGAGACATGTCTACCACACTACAAGAAATTGAAAGAATACAATCCCATTTGACTCTAAAAATCTTTCTAGGCTAATTACCAGCTCACAAAGCAGAGAAATTAAGGCAGAGAGGGCATGTTCATGATGACAACCTTTACCCATTAGCAAGCTTTGCATTTTCCCAAGGCTGAAGACAGTTTAGCCCTGACAAATGCAATCAGTGATATGCAGGCGTAACCTCCAGAAATAAGCTCACATTTTTAGGATCCACAGGGCAAAAGATGGACTGCAGTAGGTCACTATTAAAATATTTGAAATACAGCTTGGCCAGTGCTGAAATGGCACAGTTGGCCTGAAGTCGCTTCAAGGTCTCCTGGCATCTGAGTGTTTCCCCAGTGGCTTTGTGCAGTAAAGTGTTAACTTCTCCTGAGTGGTTATGTATTTAAGGCAGTAACTTTAAAATAAGGAATTGCAACCTTAGAGCAAAGCTGCTATTTTGAGAATTTTAAACCATTATTGACTCCTGTCAGATCAGTTTCTAGACTTATTGACTCAAGAAGTAAATATAGACTGAGAGAAAGCGAGGTCAAGTCAATATTTATCTTGCAGATCAATACATTTTGATACTAACCAAAAATTAAGCTCAATAAATGCATATATTATATACAGCAAGGTTAGGAGAGATCCATTCAGAAAATTTGTCAATTTGAAATTTCCCAATGGAATCTAACCTTTTGGATTCAATTTCCATTAGAAATTCTGTCCCTTTAAGGTTCCGTAAGTGACTGATGACGAGCCCCCATCACCCAATCAGATTTCCAGATGATAGTTGAATAGCAGTGAAAGGAAAAGGAAAGAAAGATGAAGTGAGAAAAAGTTGGTCGCAGGAGCTCAATCACGGCGTTAGGAGGAGGCAGGTGAGTAATGGCAGTGCACAGATGTGCCAAAAGAAGCAGGATGGGGACTAAAGCAGATGTGTAACGCGATACAAGTAATGCAATACTGCAATGCAAACATGAAGAAAGGATGGAAGAATGTGGAGGTGAACTCGTGGGAAGATTGAGTACTAACTAGTAAAAAGAGAGGGGTCAGTAATTTTAGCATTGCAACAAATGGGATGCAGTGGGGAAGATTATTTTGGGTGTTGGTTTACATCCTGGCAGCATATAATATCAGCATTCTTGTAGCTGGAAGTCAGTTTGATGTTTTCATGTGTCACCATACTGCTTGTTTTGATGGGCACCCGTTATGTCTATAAACTTCCTCAACCATGGCTTAGTCACCAAGAGCTGGCAGCTCTTCCAGGGCTTGTTAGCACTATGGATGGGCTCAGGCCTCTGCTGAAGGCATCACCTGGCACTCTTGGGATGCTGCAGCTCAGATGCAAGGGATTAGGCCAGTTTTTAATGTGTAACGGCAGCATAAGTGAGGACACACAAGGGGGTGTTCACAGGAGGCCTGGGAAGCTGGGAACATCCATCGTTGCATGATGAGAGCTGCTGGTGGTGAGCACTTGTCTTCTGTTTGTCCCCTTGTCCCCACACCTGCAGCCCACATCTACCCTGCGCTGCAGGACCCCAAGGGCAGATCAGTGTGTCAGAGGAGCAGGCTCTGCAGTACCCAACCTCCTGTCCTGGACAAGCTGCAGCCTGTCCGTGCTCCAACCTCTGATGCTGTCCCTCTTTCGAGGACATTTTCCTGAACATCTTTTAAGCTATGAATACACCCTTTGGGGAAGATGCATGCTGTAGCAAAATGAATTTCAAACGTGTCAGGATACACGTGAAACATTTTCAAGAGACCTTTTCCTGTTTTTTTGTTTTTTTTTTGTTTGTTTGTTTTTTTCCCCATAAAGCTTCTGAGCAGGGATGCATTTGCACCCCAGATAGCACCAGTGACCTCCCATTTACACAGCACCTCTCACTCCAAAGATCTCCTGACGCTTTGCAAATGTAGCACAAGCTGCTCTGCTCTTGCATCTCGCTTCATCCAGGGCTGGAGCCCAGCCAGCCCCTGCAGAGATGAGCCCAGCACCTGATCCGTGTGCCCACAACAATGAGCAGGGAGCAAACAATGCTTCCTCCAAATGAAACTCCAGGCAGAGTTTAGACAGGCAGAACGTAATTACCCGAACTGGAATTTGGCCAGAGCACTGCAGGTATGGTGGATACTTTCCCTGGGAGCACATTATTGGAAGGAAAGGGCATATAAATGATTGAATTGCTTGGTCAGAAAACACTGTTCTTGTCTTGCAGCTCATCTGGAAAAAAAAACAGGTTGCCAAAAAAAAAAAAAAAAAAAAAAAAAAAAAAGCACCCTATGCTGCTGCAAGTCTTCTTGTAGATAATTTAAATTGCATAGAGATGATAAAATGATATACTAATTGGTAAAATATGATTTCATTTGAAATAAAGTGGAGAATCTCACCAAATTTAGCTCTGCACGATATAGCAAAGTATATTTCTCATCCAGCATAAAAAGGTGCCATTTGTTTGATACCGGTTTGATGAATTATTAATTTTATCACAGCTAAGATGACAGCTAATATTAGAACATTGAATTATTAATTTTCAAATGTGGCAATAAAAAAACAGAACAAACACAAACTGAGACACATTTTAGGTATGAGTTGACTTGCTTACATAATCTGTTTGAGAAAACAAAACAGCAGAGACAGATATTTAAATCTTGCCAAGCAAATGCTTCTACCCTCAAGCCTCAGGTATGATTTTTAGCCTTACTTTGGAAATAACACTCTCTGACCAAACTTAGCTGCTTGGATATTATACACCCTCCATGTCTATTGGACAAAATATAATTTGCTTGGATGAAGATATGGTCTGGGGAGTACTCAGGCCAAGGAATAATACGGAAGCGTGTATAACTCTGGTTATACAGAGCAGTCACCCAATTTTTAGTACTAGCAAGTTGGAAAATGCAAGTTAATTGTTCAGAATAGCATCTGGTTTAGTCTTTTGCCCCTCTTCTGTCCTGTTGTTATTTTCACCAATGCTTGTTGCTTGCTGCAGGGTAAATAAGCACTCTAAGGCTTGTTTCCTTAAAAATGTTTCTGTGCGATTTCAGTCTTAACAATCAGCACAAGATTTATCTGGCTCTGCTGTTCCCTTACAGACTAATACCTATTTTCCTGTCCGGTGTCTCCTTTGCAAATATTCCTCCTTCCCAACTCTCCCGATGAGATGGGAGCTTTGCAGCCTTTCTTATTCCATGGCTAAATAGTCAACAAAAGATTTCCAAATGTCATAACTTCTTATGTTTTCCTACTATTTATTTTTTTGGAGAAGCAGAGATTATTGCAATGCTGTCCCTGAATGTGAACAAGAGTTCAAAAATAGGCACAACTTGCGCGCATCAGGGAAGCTGATCAGTATAGGTGGATTTTTGAGGGCAATGCTCCCATGCAAAAGAAGAGAAACAGCTGTCTGTCCCCAAGCCTCATTGGGAATTAATCCAGCTCAAAGCTGGATTAACTTCTATTAAAAAACAACAACAAAAAAAAGCCCACAAACTTGTATTCCACTGCCACATATGGCGATTATTTAGACTGCAAATATTAGGCAGGGCTAGCTGTTTGGGTGCTAGACTCCTTTAAATCACTTATTTTTATCCTGTTGAAAAAAATGGGGTGGAGGGGAAAAAGCATCTGTCACCCATCTAAGTTTGGAGAGAGGTGGGCAGTGCAGGAGGGTGATGGAACATCTCTAGCATGGTATGAGGTTGCCATTGAGGGAGGGCAGTGCAGTGCTGCAAGGCAACACAGCCTGTGTCCAAGACCCTGCCCCCTTTTTTTTTTGTTGTTTGTTTTTTGCTCTAAACAGACTCATGTCAAAAGACAAGGAAGACTTTCAGTAGTTACAGGGGGCTCATAATAATTGTGGAAACATTTTATAAGGACTAATGGTTTTAAACTGGAAGAAGGTGATTTTAGAACAGATGTAAGGAGGAAATTGTATATTCAGAGGATAGCAAGGCCCTGGCACAGGTGGCCCAGAGAAGCTTTCGGTGACCTGTATCAGGAGGTGCTCAAGGCCAGGTTGGATGGGGCCCTGAGCAATCTGGTTTGGTGGCAGGTGTCCCTCCCGAGGCAGAGGCTGAAACTGAATGATCTTTAAGGTTTTCTCAACCCAAGCCATTCTATGACTTTGTAGGTCCCTAGGATTTTTCCATTTCAGAGTGACATACGATGGTCATTTATCTACCTCGGGAAGAGCAGTGAGGCATGTTCGTGTTTCATTCATTTATATGTTGATACACAAAAAAACCCACCTTTTTTCTTTTTTTTTTTTAAATTTTCTTTTTTTTTTTTTTTGCCACGCAGACTCGGCAGTGATTGAAATACCTAAAAAGAAAAAAAGAAAACTGTTGGTTTCATTGGAGCGAGTTTCGAGGTCTGTCTGTTTGCGCACAGTCCAAATCTCAGACAGCTCAGCTCAGGGTTTGTACCATCAGGTGGGCATTTCATTAACAAAAATATCAATATGTGCCATGGAAGAATTGTTCCCATAGTGCACCCCAAAAAATCTTTGTGAGGGTTCTCCTCTCTGTGATCTATCCCAAAAAGAAGAGCTGGAAAGAATTAAAAGCTTCCTGCCACCTTTTAAAGGTGATTCTTAGTATGCGGTTTTGAATTTCTCTGGTTTCACACATTGCTGGTTATGTTGCCTATTATAAAGGATTCAGTAAGACACACTTTCTCCCAGTGGTATTTTATTTTGACACATCTCAAATGAAAATACAGCTCATTATCTTATACAGAATTCAAACATGTTGTCACCTGGTTTTCCTGCATTAAAATATGATTCATTTTCGTTGTAGGTATATGAAAAAGCAGAATGACTCTGTAATAAGCCTATTTAGTAATTTATTTATGTATTTTTGTTCACCTAAAAATGGGGCAAATGTCAGGCTTTGTCTTCTTTTAAAATGTCTTTGTGCTCAGAATACAAGTGCTCTCGTGTCTGGTCCTGTTGTTTTCTTTGCTGTGATGGTTTTGGTTCTCAAGAGGCATATTTAAATTTTCATAAATAGAGTAAAATTTTTCAGGAAAAAAAAATGCTCGGAGACTTCATTTATTTGAGTTTTAAAATATTATTTATAATACTCTGTGAAATATATCAGCCCTGTTGGGGCAGGGCTTTCAGATCAGCCAAAATCTGAAACTCTTTGCAGGATGCAAATTAAGGGCTTGATTAAAAGAAAACTGCTGTCCCACTGTTTTTGATGAAGTTTCTGCAGGTACTACAGCAATGAATGTGGGGCTTGCTAAGCAAATGTTTTTGAACATTTTCTTTTTTTTTTCTCTTTATTCAGTATGTAAGATATAAAGTATGAAAACTTGGCTCAACTGGGTGTGCCAGTCTGTTGAGTTTACCTGATCCAGAAGGTGTTTTAAATTATGGAAACCACAAGAGATCAGTACTTCTCAAAACATCACTGGCACATCTGAAAATTTTCAAAATGATACGATTTTGTCAGGTTCCCACAACACCAATTCACATCTAAAAAAGCACGTCCATCTAAGCTCTTGATTAACCAAAAGCAATGTTCAAGAGGTGGCCTCTGATCCGCGCATTTGAATTTCAATCTTGGAACAGGCTGCAGAGGCTGGATTTAAAGTTCGAATTTTGTTTCATTTGCAGGAGAACGGAAGAGCTGGCAAGCTGAGACACTACCAGTACTTTGTGGAAACCGACATATGAATTTGTTCTACAAATGTGCCAGGGACACACTGATCCAACAGTTAGATCACTTCCAGAAGACACCGAGTTAGATCTCCGAGTTCACTTCCAATTGCTGACTACTACTATCCAATAAAAGAAAATTTCTGCATAAAGTAAACAAGGTAATTAATTATAGAGCTGAGTTATATCCCAACAAGAGCTCCAAACTTCAAGCATACAGAAATAGATTGAGAAGTAAATGCTAAAATACTCTAATCCTTCGAACAAAGAAAGTTCTTCTCATTGGTTTTGGGGACTTGAGGTTGTGGATGGGCTTTGGATTTGTGTGCTTGATGGAGGTGAAGCAGAAATAACTGAGATTAGATTTGGTGATAGGAAAGTGGAGGAGATTCTGCTGAAAGGACAGAAGGGACAGCAAGCATGGAGATTTAAGTGAATACATTAACTTCATTTGGGAATGCGTAAGACAGAAAAGCTCTTGAACATCATGGGGTATGACCCAGAATTGAAAATTGTGTTGACCCAGAATTGACCCAGAAAATGACCCAGAATTATTGCACAAAAAGACCTTTTTTACCTTTTTCACATGTATTTAAATGGCCTAAGTCTCATACATCATGAAACACAATTTCTTTTCTGCAATCCTATTAAAGACTGGTAACTTTAATGTCTGAGGTCTTAACTATTGTTTTTGCTCTTGAATATAACCTGTTGGTAGCAGGCCACACCATTTGAAAAAGAGGTCCAAAGGAAGAACCCCTCTATAAAGGAGATGTATCAGTAACGAGGAAATACAGCAGCAACAGCAACATGTTATCATTTATTCTTTTTTTGAGTATATCAGAGGAAGACTGACTGTCACTGCAGAGGGAAGAGGGAATGAGAATGAGAATTGCAAGAGAAAAAATCATGAAAAAATTCCTCCTTCTCTGGGATGAATACAGGGGAGTAAGTGTTCCTACAAAAATTGAATTATGTTGTGATTTTAAATATGGTGTGAGAATGAAGGACATATGAGCTGCAACGAGACAACCAAAGAGGAATTATGTGATATGTTCAGGCTGGGAGTGTGCTTCACATGACAACAGGAAGAGAGGAAAGGTGGAGGAAAAAAAATTCAGAATCTGCTCTATCCTGAGCCATTAATGGCAACCATGTTCATGTTTTGTAGCTAGTTATATTTACTGATGGTTCTCAAGCACATTCAACTTTGCACTATCCCCTACAAATTGGAAAGATGTCTATTTGTCAATGACCTATAGGTTTGATATCACCAAAACTAAACAATTAATGTCCTTTTCCTTAAGTACTGGTGCTTACTCTTGAGGAGTAGAATGCTGTGACCTTTTATTTCCAGTCTGAGGACAGTTCTATGACAGATGGAATAATGCCAGTACCTACTTTTCATTAGATTGTACGATTTGACTTTATCTTGCATGGTCTGTGTGGTCTGAGTGAGTAAGTCACACCAAAATTTATGAGGTTTTCATTACTACAAATGAATCTTCATCATTACTATGTGGATGTAAGTACTCTTGGGCGGCAGAAGACAGACCCAACAGGCCAGCACAAACTGATGCCAACTTGTTGCCTACTATTCATTCCCTTAACCCGAATCTCCAATGACCCTGGGCCACTGAAACACTGGTATCCCTTAGGGACATGCCTGGCATCCCATTTGGGGTTTGCAGAACAGGATCCCAGTCTTTTGTGAAAACCATTGACTAAAAATTCTCCTTTCGCTTTTAATTCTTTTACCTTAAGAAGGGAAGAAGATGAATGGCCAGAAGCCACCTCCTTCTTGTTTGGACCAGCCTGCCTTTCTAAGGGCAACAAAAAGCAACAGAAGTGGCAGAGAAGATGAATACCTTCCTCCCTTCATATAAATCCTTCATATCCTCCCTTCACATAAAAGTTTTTTTGGTTGTTTTATTTATTCATTTATTTGTTTATTTTATTTTTCCAATTTATTTTGCAGTTGGAAACGTTCTGGGATTTCATCATCAACTTCCCAGCTTGACAACGAGACCCTCGTGACCCAGCAATGAGTCCCAGTTCCCACCTGGGTGCCTCTGGAGAGTGACAAATCTCTTGGATGTGCTCTCACATCCCAGAAGCACAGGCCAGGAACATCTGTCTGTTCCTTCCTTTCCTTCAGACTGCCCCGAGGAGAAAGGGAGGCAGGCAAGTAAGGATATGAAAGGCAAACACTCAACTGGCCGTGTCACATTAGCCAACTTAAATAATTCCTCTTGGCTGTGGAAACAGCCTTCCCATCCAAAGCTGTCTTTTTTTTTTTTCTTTTTTTTTTTTCTTTTTTTTTCCCCCTTTTTTTCCCCCCCAAAAAACAAGAACAACTTATTTCCAATTTTGGGCAGCTTCCCTGGCTGTGGGCCAGCTCTCCCCACTGCCTCTCTGTGCTACTTCCCAACACCTCTCAAGTGATCTGACTGAGTGCCTCAGGGATCAAACTTTACCGAACAGGAAAATCAAAGTATGCAAATGAAGCTCGGGTTATTACATATATAATGATGAAAACGATTTTCCTTTGCTGTTGCCCGTGCCCAGCTTCCTTCCCTATGACTCTGAGTGCTTTAGAGCTGTATATAGCTGTTGAACTGAAGCACCCAAGGATGGCTCTGAAGCAGGAAGAGAGTTCAATCTGCAGGCTGGTTTTCCAGGCACTTTCTTTCTTATTCTCCACAAGATGGTTGATATGCCTCCGGATTTTGCTGCTATTATTTAGGTGTCTCTACTTCACAGCAAAGGGCAGATGAATGCCTTGTGCAGCCTCTTCAGTCCACTCTAGATCTATTTTAGGCTGAGAAGACTGTGCTGCTTGGATAGATGGGTGCATTTCATGCCAAAAGCTCAGTCTTTCTGCAGAGTTAGGCATCTCCGTTTGAAAAAGTAAGTAAAAGGTAAAGCTGTTTGAAGCAGTGCATGAAGCTGAGTTGCTATCAGATGTATATGGCATAAAGTATATATCCTGATAGGCACTCTCCTACAAAAGAGAAGTGGCCTTATTTACTTGTGCATCTTAATGAATGAGAGGATGCATATTGTGACATGAAATCCTATCCACTGTACCAATTCAACAGGCATTTATACACTGAAGTCTGAACTCTGCATAACCAATGGGATGTCAATGAAGGATGTGGAAGAACACTTGTCTAAAGACACCTACTCTTTATTTTTACTACAAAGTCAATTACCATTTCAAAGCAGCCATCTGACATGTATAATGTCAGGAGCCAGATGCTGGCATTGTGATATCGTCATATTAATTTTAAAGAATAATTTTTTAAATTATTATTATTTTTTTTTAATGTTGGATTCCCAAGGATTAAGTTGGATGTTCTCGATGTAGTTGAAAAAAGAATCTATATTCCCCAAAGACAAACATTCTTCTACTCTGTTTGGTTCTATAACTCAGTCATTTCTCTCTTGAAGAAGCACAAAACAGAAAGAACTTTTGGTTTCAGGTAAAGTTTCGCTTCAGCTGATCTTTCTGAAAACATGCACCTTTTTGGCTGTTTCAGTTATGAAACATAGAATGGCCTGGGTTGAAAAGGACCACAATGCTCATCTTGTTCCAATCATAGCAGGCTATGTGCAGGGTCACCAACCAGCAGCCCAGGCTGCCCAGAGCCACATCCAGCCTGGCCTTGAATGCCTCCAGGGATGGGGCATCCACAGCCTCCTTGGGCAACCTGTGCCAGTGCATCACCACCCTCTGTGTGAAAAACTTCCCCCTAATATCTAACCTAAACCTCCTAAAATGAAGCTTATGCATAATTTATCTTTAAATGGAAGTTTAATGAGTAAAATTTGGGTTACTGAGGTTTTGGCACAGGTCACATTTAATCTTTTTTTATCTCCTAAATCACGTGTTTAAACTTAGTTTGGGTCTCTTACGACCAAAATCCATGCTGACTCCTCTCTGACCTAGGCAGATTGAACTGAGTCGCAACACTGCTCTTTGCTGGTACATGTCCTCATCCCCACTGCCAAGAAAAACCCTCTCCCTCTGTGTTTTCCTGTTAGCAATACTGGTATGGAAGCCAAGGACTGACAGTCTTTCTCATAATTCTAAAATCCTCTCCTCCAACAGGGAAAAAGGAAAATGATTGAGAAACCTTTTGCTATTGTTTGGTTGTTTGGTTATAAAGGGGAACTGGACTGCCAAGCCATCATCCCAATAGCCCCAAATCTCTGTGTAAAACATGGGCAAAAGGAGAGAAAAGAAAGATTTATTGTTATTATCATTACAGACTACCTTTATAATACATGTGTTTCACTTAAATTAATATTTTATAACTCTATATCAGCACTGCAGTCACCCAACAGCATTTCTTATTTATCCAGTTGGACATACTAATTTGCTTTTATCAAAATACTTGAGAAATAATTGTCTTACCTCTCCTAGGACATGCTACAGGGTTTATTCTCTCCTTGCTATCTACGTAGTTATAAATCCTCATGCACTGAGAGCAGAACAGGCTTTATGTGTCTAGCATTTTCTTATGATTTCTAGGCTATTATCCCCAAATCCTAATTAACCATTATTAAAAATAATGTGGCCTTTCTACCACGTGAGATATACCAGCATGATAAGATGTGATGTGAAAGTCCCAAGTATAATGTAATTTTCTGCTTTACTTTTCCTCTTTTATTAGAGATTTCTAACATAATACTGCGTTTTCATCCAAAGTGACAGGATTCAGTGCATACTTTGTAGTATATGTTTTGCAAACTGCCAAAACTGAGTCGTTGGATTTAGTTTTCTAATAATCATACAGCCATACAACACGCCCCTACATGTCAGAAACTGAAGAAAGCAAATTTGTACACAACAACATGTATTTTGTGGATAGCGATAACCCACCCAAATCTAATTTAATCAAATATTTAAAGAGGTAATAATTAATTTTTAAAGAATTGAAGTGAACCGTAACTAGGAGGAAATGTTATTGTTTATTTTTAATGCCAGAACCGTATTCCTGATGCATTTTTAATATTTCATTAAGGCGGTAACTTTCACAGTGTATTTTTTCAAGTTTCATATCTCACTGATTTATTTATTTTTTTCTGAAGAAGAAAGGTAAAATGCTGTAGGGAAACTCAGAGCTTAGACTGATGCATTCTTTGAGGAGCTCTTGCTAAAACTAACTGAAGTCTTTTTAAGCAGAAGTCTTCTTAAGCCTTTCCGGACAAGCAATCTAAAACCAGATGTCTTTTAGACAAGCTAAGGTACAGCATCTGCTTGTGAGCTGAGCAAAGGGTTCTTCTTTCAGACAGTGCATGTGTTCATTGGGTACTACTTTCTGTTCTGCTTCTGAGCTATTAGTCATTCATACTTTCTGGAAGAGATATCTGCAAGAAAGGTTTTAAAGCCCATTGCCTTTCAAACCTGCATTCTGTCCTTCCTCAGTCCTTTGTTTTTTGATGTATTCCTTCTTTTTAATGGAGCATCCCTCACAGTTTTTTAGCCTTTCGTACTCAAACTGTGGAAGCCTATTTATTTCACTCTGGCTCCAGCCCCAGTTAAAGGTGTGAACTACCAAAGTGGATGGGGGCACATGCACATTAACACTGCTGTGGAAAACATCGCCTGACAGATGGATGCATGTTGAATGGGTGTTTAAAGAAAGGTGTTTGCAATAAAAATCCTGAGTACAGCATCAGAGGAAGACCACACACAGTTTCCTACTTTTATTTCTGTAATATATAGGGGTCAGGCTAGTTCTAGTCCCTATGCTTTATACTGTCACTTACTCACATTTGCTATTTCGTATATGCTTATATTTGGTATTTAATACTAATAATTTATATATTAATATTTGTGTGTTTATTCCAAAGACTGGCTGTTTTCAAGGGTCTGCTCTGCAGCACGAGGGTCTGAGTCAACATACTGTAAATTGCTAGTTTATTCAATAAACAAAATAGTGAAAGGGTAAGTTGAATTTCTCCAGTTTTAATCACCTGTTCTCGATCTCTGGGCGATACTCACCTAATATGTAACAGTTATGGAGCTATGAATATGATGTGCAGATACATCCTTGCTTGGGTTTATCTGCCTCTGACCAGCCCTAAGAACTGACGTGTTTAAATTCTGGTTGAGAACTGAGGCAAGTGATTGGAACTAGATTATCTTTGAGGGTCCTTCTAACTCAAACCATTCTATGATTCTTTGGAAGATCAACTATAGATAAGAAGTTCTCTCCATTTTTCTTCCTAAGTCCTTAGCTGTTCCCTGGATAGATAAGAGGACTTTTTAGGCACAGCATTGTTCTTTTCCCAAAATATTTCTGACTCAGTCATCTGCCTACGTAGCGAACTTTTGTGTCTCCTGACTTAGGCTGAATTGGTTTCTCTTTATGTACAAACAGGATCGCTTTTTTCCCCCCCTGATTTCATAATTGCTATTTCTATTTTTTTGCTTCTTTCAGTTTTCAATTATACTTCCACTTGACTATCAAGATTATCAAGAAATAAAGCATGATTCACATGTACACATAGTTTACGACCTTTAGATTCAAGTCTATTTATATAAACTTGCAAATACAAAAGGATACGACGTCATAGGGCCTTGTAGGCACCCAAATTGTCAGTGAATTCAGACCATAACCGGTTTGTTCAGCTTTATTGAGACCTCTTTATAAGCTGTGCTTGTGTTATGACAGTAGATTGTTTACAGATTCTTAAAATGTCCTGAGTTGATGAAAAAAAGGGCAATTTTTTCCTTCACAAATATCACTTGACTTTGAGAGGAGTGTTTGAAGCTACACAACCAGAATAGGAACATTCACATCCTCTCTATGAGTGGCTCAAAAACCCTGTCATTTCTCTCAGGCCCAGCTCCAGCAAGCACTTACACACATGCTTAACTTTATGCACACGAGTAATCCCATTGATTTAATGGGATTATTCCCCTATGCACAGTTACGCACACATAAATGTTTGCAGGACTGGGGTCTATTTCTCTTGCAATGATTTGAAACCTGTGGAAGAAAATGCTGTATGCAAGTTAGATATTATTTAATGGCCACATATTAAGCCTGAATATCTCTTCTGAAATTGGTGAGGCTGTGCCACTTTGTTTCTGGCTGAGAAACTGCCCTCTTCTGTGCACAGTCTACACTCTTAGCTTACTACAACACATCGTGGCCATTACAGCATAGAAAAGTGTATGGGAACTGCTGAGTCACAGCCTGAACCACTGATGGAGCACCTGAAGGAAACGACCTGGTCAGCCCTGGGAGCACAGGTGAAGGCAATTCACCTGTATGACTGGAAGGGGTGCAGCCTGGCTCCACCTCTCTTAGACCCCATTTAAGGGCTGACTGCAACTGGGGAAGGATCTCTTTCTAAAGATCCCTCCCTAGTGGAGCTTTCTTCTGTGAACCTGGAATCTTCTGATACAGGTGAGCAATCTTCTTCCCTTTCTTTATAGCACCTTTCTATCGTGCCAATCCTTTACTGCTGTACCTCTGTTTCCCATCATAGTGATCTGTTCAATTACTACAAAAGGGGAATGGAGAGGTAATCAGTATTACAAGTACTGAGAGAGAGAATTCTCCATGTCCAGAGGTTACTGTATTTCAAAACTTGATTTATAACTTGATAATGACATTTAGAAAATCTTCTGCTATGTGCGGGATATCCTTCTCATTAATGAAATAACATAATAACTCATAAATACTTCATGTATGTGGAAAAGGCTTACTTTATATATACTTACATACAAATAAAGAAATCTATGCATAGAGAAATGTAGAGCAGAAAAGTACTTCCAAGCATCAGAAAACTATGTATAAAAATGTGATGTTTGCATGTGTGCAGACTTGCAGGCATAGGATGAGCGCTGATATGAAAATAACTTTGGTGAAAATAACCGAACTTCAAGTTGCCTCTGACTTGGATAGTTGGCTTGTGATTTGAAATTCTGCAGCCAAGGTAACTTTAAAAAATTAGGGTAAATAACCATCTGCCATAAATGATAGAAATTGAATATAAATAAAATAGTACTTCTACAACCAGTGATGGGAATCACAAGCCAAACGTATCCATGGTGTAGGCAGCAGGAATGCTTGTAGAACAAAAACAGCTGAAGAAGCAGGTTTGGCCCAGACACGTTTTGATGTGTAGTGTATCCTGTTGGCTGAACAACAGCATTATTAAGCAACTTGGGGTGGAGCATCAATGGGCTCTGAGAAGGATTTAAAGAAGATCTTGACTTGAACGTGTTGCGGGAGGAATCATGCTGTGTCATTCAGTAAAAACATAATCAGTCTTATGCCACTGGCACATTCAAACACCTAGTGGGATATGCTGGGCATCAGTGTTCAAGGTTTTATGTAAGGTAACAGCTGCTTTGGTCAGGCAGTTAATTAAATGTGTTCATTTTCCATACAACCAACAGTAGTGACAACAGATCAAAGTGGAATTTTATGACATTTCAGGGTTCCCTTATGTGATCACAATGGTGGATGGCACCCACACAATCTTTCACATCCCTTCACTGCATGATGATGCCTTTCCCCTCCGAAAAGCTTCAGTCTTTGACTCTGCAAATAGTGCAATACTAATACATTGGTACTGCTTGCTGGATATTGCCAGTTGTCCCAACTGCAATCTTGAGAAGCTGTTTGGGCTTATTCCCATGCTGAAGATGGGAGATGTCTGAAGATGAAGCAATTCATTTGCAAAGCTATTTTTGACTTTTTTTGCCTCCTGTCTTACATCTCTTATTATTAATATTCAGTGAGCAGATCTGTAGGGTGGAAATAAACTAGTATGGTATTTTTGAATAGATGTTGTACTCATCAGATGTAGAATTACAGAAAATTATTTCCTTTTCCTTGATAGTTCCTTTTGCTGCATTGCAAGATGACAAATTCAACCTTTTCCACAATATTGGTACTTCCATAACACAGTAATAACTCAAAAGCATTGGGAAAGATAAGGTAAATGGAGATGATTCATGGAAACGACTACAAAACCTTTTTAGAAATAATGGACTGACAAATATGAACAATATTTGAATAATATAAATGAACTAGACAAGTTTCCTCCCCACTAAAAGGATAAAACACTGTGAAGAAATGTGGAAGAAATGTAAAGCAAGTTAAGCGTGTAAGAACTGACCGAAAATGAGTCACACTCCTACGCTTTTGGCTCACAATTTGAAACACTTGTTTTTACTTGATTGGGTAGCCACTAAAAGTATATAGTAAGATTTGTTTGAATTTGATCTGTCACTGTTTTTGATGGGTGACAATGATTTTATGACATATGTCACATAGTGTCACATCATTCAAAACACATTAAGTCACGCTCTATCCCGTCATTTCTGAAGGCAATAATGCTATTCAACATGACGTGACATGAGGAGATGTAACACAACTCAACAGCTGAAAAAATAAAGGGAAAGTTTTGTAGGTGTGACATGGGTTCTTGAGATTACACTGTAATGAATCTAAGGAGGAAGATCCCAGGAGCTGTCTGTAAAAATGGATCCACTGTCTGACTTGTGTCTTTAGGAGAATGAGGTCTGGGTTACTGTGCACAGAGGGGCAGTGGGTGGATAATACAGTCATGACAGCAGTCTCACTGGGCTCAGTGGCACAGACTAGCTCTTCAGGAACTACTTGTTGGAGAGTCTCATGCCTGAAAAGAAACAAGATTGGAACTCTCTATGGCTTGAAACGTCTCTGGGTTTTTAGAGCATTTAAAATTTCTGCAGCCTCAAGGATGTCCTAAGCAGAATACATTACAAGCTAGATACTTGCTGGTTGCAGTAGTCTTCTAACAGCTTCTTACGGCTGTTTACGAGGATGGATAGTGACAGGACAAAGGGGAATGGTTTTAAATTGAGACAGGGGAGGTTTAGGTTGGATATTAGGAGGAAGTTTTTCACACAGAAGGTGGTGAGGCACTGGAACAGGTTGCCCAAGGAGGCTGTGGATGCCCCATCCCTCGAGGCATTCAAGGCCAGGCTGGATGTGGCTCTGGGCAGCCTGGTCTTCTGGCTGGCGACCTGCACATAGCAGGGGGGTTGGAACAAGATGAGCATTGTGCTCCTTTTCAACCCAGGCCATTCTATGATTCTAATAAATTTAAAATGAAGATATTTCCAGCCTATGTGAGCTCTGCTTTTGTTTTTTAAAGACTATTTTCTGTCCTGCCTTGGGGCATCAGGAGTGGAGTTCTGTGTTTTATATGGTAACATGATGCTTTTTATTCTTTCTGATTGCAATGAAGCTATGCCTCTTATAAACACAAACCGCCTTTGGCTAGATCATCAGGAAGTTCTCTCTTTCTACACCAAAAGTAGAATGTCAGCACAGAATACGAAGTTGCCTGGTCAACTCTGCAAGATCTCAAATTCTACAGCTACTTGGGTTGCACCATACATATTTTCCAGGTTAGTAAATCTTAGCCATGCACACAAATATGGTATGCTTGCTAGCATTGCACAGCTCCAAACCTACAGCTCTAGTCTAGTTACACATTATGTTTTTCTCACCACTTTGTTGGTGGAGCCTATGAATACGGATTCTCTAAGATCTTTAGATACAGGTCAGAGTTGGAAGCTGAAGATCAGCCAACCTGAAATACCTCCTTAACTCCCCAGCTGGAAACTCCCTCCAACTCTTAGATGTACCGCTAACCACTGAACACTGCAAATGGGGCACACAGCACCAGTGAGACCTGACTTGATGTCCAGAAAGCTGCTAACAGCTCTGAATACTAACATAAATGTGGGCCCAACTTTCCAAAATTATTCACCACCCTATTTTTATAATTTCCTATTAATTTCCTGAAGAGCTGTTGCTATTCTTTAGGCCTGATTTTTTTCCCTCCTGATTGTCTTGGAAGACGTCCTTGATGTCTGGAGTTTCCACTGTGTTCTAGGGCAGCTGAGAACTAATCTGAGTAGTTTTCATTCACCTCTTTTTGTGACTTAAAAATAATAATAATAAGCAAACCTCTGCAGTTCTGTAACTATCTTTTCAAAATGTTAATTACTTGCAGGCTGAATATCTTGAAATTCTTCCACCTTTGCTACCAAAGAGAAACTTGTGTAAATTCTCACTTTGTCGTCACACCTGTTGGAAATCACCGTTACAACTTAGGTGTGAAAAAAATGTGACTGAACTATACGTAGTAAGGAAAGTACACACGCCAATCTCAATGTAAGTGCATCACTACTGCTATAAAGCAGACAAAACTACTTTGGTGACATTCGCTGTTACTGTACGTTGACAAGTTCCCATTTAATTTACTACATATGGTTCTATGTCTCCATAGCTACTCTCGTGAATTCATTATTCATTAAATAAGTGATGAATTTACTCAAATATTGCAGCCACATGGCCGACACAAATGCATTCTAATATTATTAACACGTTGCCAACTTGCAACTCTTCGAAGTCTGAGTAAATGTTTTGACAAGAAGAGGCAGCAAGAACAAATAAGTAGTAGCAGTCTAGATGAAGTTCAGCCATAGTTCTAACAGCTTTAAAGTCTTAACAGTGTTTTCACTGGGGCAGTACCAGATAAATTGCTCTTATGTGTGCATACAAGAGACTAAAATTCCTTTGAAAGTTTATAATTTCTCATGGGAAAACACAACATAAAAGTTACTTTTACTCATAGAAAAACAACACCATATTTTCCTGTCAACCTTTGCTGTTGGGAATTTCAAACTTTTTGCATTTTTTCCCTGTGATTCTTTGTCGACCCTAGGGACAGGCGTTTACAACATAATTTACTTTCAGCATGTCTCTGTAAATCATTGTAATACTTTCTATGGCTAGTAAGACGAAAAAGTTGGACTGACAAAGTACTTTTCTGAGCCTCCAACAGCAGACTAAAAACACCTCTGCCTCAGAAACATGGATTGATACACAAAAGAAAAGTTTTATGACGGCTTCACATGAATGTTTGTATTTAGAGGTTGTAGTATTTATTAGGAAATATTTATTGAACTGTATTTACTTGCAGTAAAATATATGGAATGCCTGGGAAATAAAAAGTTTGTTGGTGGTACAAATTAAAATCACCAGCATCCCATGTTTGGAGAAGGCCGTTATTTTTTCCTCGCTGTTATTGAGGTCTGTTGTTGTCACTGTTGTTGTATGGGCTTAGCAGAGCTGTCTCGGATTAGGTGATTTAAGCATGGCCTCCCATAAAAAGAGCTGGAAACCTGTAGAGCCTTTCAGCCTCACTTTTTGAGGCTGCTGCTAATATCAAGGCTCATTCAGTTTTACATTAGAACTTGATGACTTGCACATTGGTTGAACCTTCACCTTTTACAACCTTAATGGGGATTTATTAGCTATTTCACAGTGTGTAAATTTGAATCTAGGTCAGATGAGGAAGAAAAATAGGGCAAATCTGGGCCTTAAGTATAACCTGCATATAATATATCAGGATAAAAAAAAAGGTGCAAAATTAAACAGATGATTAAAAGTGTCTAGAGCAGTCAGAGTCTGAAAAAAGAGCTTGATAAATTAGGGGTGTTAGCGGGCTGCTTTTTTTTTTTTTTTTTTTTTTTTTGAGTTCAAACTCAGGTGACTGGTGAAAGTCTGGTTTCCACGCAAATTCAGCAGATTAAGGAGTTAAAATAGCTTGTTAACCTGTTTCTGCTAACTGCTCGCAAGAGGAAATGTAACACAGGTGTTTGATATTCACAAGATTAAAGCTTTTGTCTACCATCAACTGTTCACCACATTAAAGCTGTTTTAATGAGGTATTGGAAGATAATGAATGTAAGCCTCTAATTCACTGCAGAAGAGACAGCTTGCCCCTGCTCTGACCTCACTGCAGCCAGGTATCTACAACAACATATTAGTCACATGCAGACCCAAAGCTAAATAGCCACTGCCTTTTGCAGCACTCATCTGCTAAAAGCAGAGGTGCTTCAGGTGCTGGAACTTTTCTGCTCAGCATCCTGGAAATTTTAAGTCAGATATTCCTGGAGTGAGGGTACCCATCCCTTAATACAGGAGGGCTGCCTGGAGGAAAACAGCAGCAGGCACAAGGAGAGGCTTTAACAGTGCTGTGCATGGGAGGGGGAGTGTGGGGGGGGGGGGGAACAGGTGCAAATTAATACAATTGCTCAATTATCATTCATCTTAACACTTAGAGATGCTTAAATAGTCAATAGCTGGAGTGAGGAAATGCTGGGGAGGGCTTTCTGGTTCTGTATCTAATATCTGACGGATATTAGATACTGCGAGGCAAAGGTATGCTGCTGCTTAGTTGTTCTTAATAGAATAAGCTCCAAATAAAAATAAAATAAAGATCCTGAAAGGTTCTCCAAACCAGATTTATTTTGGCATGCGTACGCAGGGAACTATGTACTGTAGCAAGTTTTAAATACTGTATTTGGACACTAATTCTCAACTGCCGTCATCAGTTTGCTGACAGCCATCTGCTTGGACCCTGCTCCTTCCTCCCATCCAGCACAGCTAAAGTAAAATATTGACAGAAACAACTTCTGCAGCAAAAGTGGAAAAGTTAATAACATAACTGAAGTCACACAGGATTTTTCTCTAATGTTCTGGAGCCCTCCTCCAATTTTGTTTTGCTCATGCCTTTATTTAGATGAGTCCCACCTATCCTAAAAATAGGAGGCTGTATAGCTGGATATCTTTAGATGAACAGGTTACCAAGGAGAAATCCATAGCCTTAAGTGCCTACCAGATAGTTTGTGTGACTTAATCCTAATGAGCAGTGCACGTGCTCTTGGGGAGCTGGCACACCGTGCAGAACATTGTCAATCAGAGCAGCAAAAACGTTGTCATGGTGCTGCTGAAAGATGCAGAGGAACGTGCAGCAGATTGCTAGAATGGTGATGTTAGGAGCCTATGCAATCCCCTGTGTCATGCCCGGGGCTCAGGTTTGCCACTGTGGTACTGAGGGCTGCCTCGTCACTTTGGATAGCTTTGTTCTGCTCGTGGCTTCTTGTATTCCCCACCTGAATGAGTTAGAGCTGCCATAGCTCAGCACAAAACAGGCTCTACCTTCAGCTCTTTGCAGGAAATGCCATTAAAGCTCTTGCACAGGTCACAGGGCAATGCACGATAGATGACTTCGCTACTAATTAGTTCAAAAAGAAAAGTGAATGTGTGCCTACCTACACACAATCACACAGATATACGTTCACATAAATTATTTACTTATCGTATCTATTTATAATACATGAATCTTTTATATTTTATGGAAATACCATCATGCTTTTTAGATTTACATCTCTTATTAAATTCCCCACACAACAAAACACAACGCTATAGAAATATATAGCCCTGCAAACTGATTCAAGACTTCTAATCCAAGTGGTCTTACTGTCTGCAATATTCCTTTCTAAATTGTGCCATTATGTCCCACAAATTGACTTGTAGTGAAAGATAATTTTTTTTTATTCTCTTGCAGTGTTACAGTAGAAAGAATCTTTCCCATAAAGAACAACGTGATGATTTTCACACTGAACTTTCTGCCACGTATCTGCAGAACTGCCACAGATGTACATGCACATCCAACCTGAAATCAGCCCTGAGAGTAGATGGGTATGTTTAATGAAGAGGTCAATTAAAACCACAGAATCTTTCAGCACCCTGTGTCCCAGGTGTTGGACCATGTAGCTATGATGAGGTGAGGATGGCCCACCAGCCTTATCACTCTACCTCATAGGTTCTCATAACCTATAGGCATTTGAAACACATGAAGAAGTAGAGACGCGACTGGGGAGGGGAGGAGGAAGCACTTCTATTGTGCACTTCTGAAGGTACATCCACTAGCAGAGTGAAATTTGGATAGTGGGAAATGTTTATTCTCTAAAAGAGTGGCTGGACACTGGCACAGCCAGCCCAAGGAGGTGGTAGATTCCCCATTCCTGGAGGTGTTCAAGAATTGTGGAGATGTGGGACTGAGGGACGTTGTCAGTGGACATGGTGGGGCTGGCTGGACTTGGACTTCGGAGCTTAGAGGTCTTTTCCAGCCTTAAGGATTCTGTGTTTGAACTAAATACTGTATTTTAACTTGCAAAGAAATATATAAATGCGCTATTGACCAAAGAAACCCATAGGAGTGATGAAGCCATAGTAGTGATGAAATCCACATCGCAAATTATTCTGCTTCTACATCTCCAATGGAATTACTGAACATTGTGAAGATTTTAATCCCTGACATAGATGAATGTCAGGAATTATAATTTTGTAATATTCTGAAGTGTTTATACACATAACAAGCTTTCAGTATGTGGCTATAAACTTATGTAAGTCCAACAGGTAAATAACATAAGAAAGGAGTAAGTTATCATACTTTTTCTGTATTGAAAGAAGCAAATCTCTCAACCAAGTCTGACCAGGGAACGTTCTGTTGCCTGCTGTGACACAGTGACATCTCAAAGATTAGGGTGTTTCTCAGCCATTCAGAGCAGTCATCACTTGTATGGAGCACAGAGCTCAGCACACGTGGCAGGGGAGCTCCTCATCATAAAACCATGGCCATGAGTCTAACCAAAAAATTGCAGAAGAGGAAAACTGGTAAAGGCCTCTTCTGTATATACTTCCCATTGAAGTCTAATATCTTCAAACTGTTTCTTGCTATTGCATCTTTGATGCCAGCACTTCTGTCAGATGAGTCTACAAAGATGACGATTGACGTCACTGGAGAATCTACAAGTTTTCTGTGAGCAAAGTGTCATAAAACAGACCAGCAAACAAAATTCTTTTCCCTGACTAACATAAGACATAAACATGCATGCAGCTCTGCACAGCCATATCTAATTGTAAGGTCATGCCTTTTTTTAATGAGCTTGCTAAAAGTTTACACCAAGTTTCCTCAGTGAAACAGGTAGGTTCTCATTGATCTCCAGCCAGGGCTGTCATTACAGAGGATGGGGTTCCAATTTCTGATTAATGAAAATTTTAATTACGGACAGATAACGAAGAGAAAGACACATTTCCATGTTACTTTAAACAAAGAAGAGTTAAGGCCTTATCTTAACTATGCATTGGCACTGCAATGCGAAATGGTCATGCAAAATTAATTTTTAATGTGTTCAATTTATATTAAAAATTTCTGCAAGTGTGTGATTTTTTTTTTTTTTCTAAGGCTGGAGTGCTACTTCATTTACAATATTCCCTGAAGGTGTTTTTTTTTTAAAGAGACTCTTAAACTGAAGCCATTTTAAGGGTTTTATGAGACATTATGTGAGCTTTCATATGCAAGTTAGTCGTTAAGTACCAGATATTATATTCTGTAATATGCTTAAGTGATATTAGAGGCTGTATATAGCCTGCAGTAATGGCTATTGCTGCTTTTTTAATTTATCAAGAAAATGTTGCTTAAATAAGGAGCAAATCAGTGCTTGGGTGTAGAAAATATAAATGTACAGGAAGTAATAGTATCATTGCAACACACTTTGCATGTCCAGCTTCCCTGGGGAGCAAACACAAAGTCTGCTTTCCCCTACTCCTGCTGACATACATGGAAGATCCATACGCGTAGTGACGGAAATATGCAAAAAGAGAAATTTAACTGAGTTTCACTGAGCAGTATGTGACTGCTGCTCCTCAAGACCTCATGAGAATTAATATTATGCCCTCTGTAACTGGGGTTTTTTGTACAATCCTTGGCATTCAAACAAAGTAGCATCTCACTTTCGGATGTAGACCAGTGAAGTCTTTGAATGTTCATCCTACAAAGGGAAATATTTTTGTTAAGCTGGATTCATTGGTCAAGCTGTAACAGCTAGGATGAAAAAAATCTCAGATGGTGAACAAACTTGCTATTTCTCTTTTGTCGCTTCTTGCTGAGAAATAAGGAGAAAAAAGAGGAGGGAGAGACCTTTAAACTGACAAGCCTGTAGAAATAGAAAAGTCACTTGACTTTACTTACAGACGTGCTTCCTGCTCCGAACTCTGACACAGAAACAAACCCTTTTGCAGTTGTGCTGCATGGAATTGGGACACGGGCATCTTTTGCCCTGCCCCCCACCCCACACAGTTCTCCCTGCTCTGAGCACACAGTGCTGCCCAGTGCCCAGGGCTCATTCCCTTCCCTCTGACCACAATTCTGTGCCCAGCTGCAAATTCCCACTTTCCCGCAGTGTTATGATTGAAGAAATGTATTTTAAATGAGAAATCATCTCTTCCATCTTCCTTCTCTCACCCAGCTGCTGTTTCCCACCCTGATTCCTGTTTTGGAGCCATAATTAATGTTTAATTGTTTTGTTTTTTTTTTTTTCTTTCTTTCTTCCCCCCCTGCAAATCACACCATCCTTCTCTTTTGCTCCGCTCCTCCTGGTTCTCCTCACAGCCGCCGATCTCCTCACTCCTCCTTCCATCACCGTCTTTATCATCCCTGCTCTCCTCCCTCCCCTGGCTCGCTTAAATATTTCAAAGAAAAGCAATCCAACTCCATCCAGGCTTTGTGGCACACCTCTCTTTTCATCGGCATTCATTCTCACTTGCTGTTCCTGGGAGGAACAAGGTCCTTGGCACACTATAAGCTGCCTCTCTAACAAATCTGGCCACAAATGAGCATAAAGCTGGGCACCAAATAGGCAAAGCAGACCTTAGCAATCACTATCTTGAAGAACAATTTTGCAGGCAATACATATGCCCAGGCTCTCCAAAGGGATGCAGCAAAAGCCCCAGACAAAAATCTCCCCAACCGCACTAGGTCTCTCCATCCTGCTGACCTAATGTTAAACTCTTCCATTCATCACAAAACCCTCATTGATGACTCCAAGATCACAGAATTCTAGAATGGCTTGCATTGGAAGGGACCATAAACATCATCTAATCCCACCATTCAAAGATAAAGAAAATATAGGATTCTCCAAGGGACACATGGTAGCATTTGCTGTCTACACCCATGCAGAGGGATTTATTATGGTTGGAGGACAAGACTGCGATGTGTAGCTCTTTCCATGGCAAATTTGCAGAGAGCTGGACTGAAGGCCAATAAGAAATAACAACATCAATGAAAACACATAAAAAAAAAGAACCAAAGAAACAATAACAAAAACAAAAAACCCACAAGTAACCAATATACTTAAGCAGCAATATATTTAACAAGTGAATCAACAACTGAGTTACCTCCTCTCTCTGCTGAGCCCAAGCCTCAGCCCCAGCAATCTGCCTGCCACTCTCTCTCCCCCAGCCACTCCTGGACTGATAACAGGAGCCAACTTCGATAAAAGTTTTATCTTTTTTTTCAAGCTCTTTCATGTGCTCCAAAGCGTTGCACACATTTCCCATGGGGTAAGTGAGGAAGACTCTGTACAGAGCTTAGTGTCCATTTGGTCAAAGGCCAGCGAGGCTCTTTGACAGTTACCAACTTCAGTCCTGCAATCCACAGCTTGAACTGGCTTAATCCACAGGAGACAACACCAGCATCTGCTTCTCTTCTCTCTCCCAGCCCTTCGCACACATGCACAGAGGCTCATTAAATTAATGAAGATATTTTTCCACCCTTCACCTTTATGCCTGTACCTCTATGTCCATTTTCTACACACTAGCTGCGTGTATGCATGTGCGTATGTGCTCTCGATGTGTGCCAAGGTACCTTCCCCCAGTTACATACAAACAGATGTTTTTATATAGAACGCATATTATAAATCTAAATCAATGCAGGAACAGAAATCTGAATAAATCACAGCTAAGTTGCAGCTTAAAATAAACATTCTGGAAAAAATAAGCAAATAAGCTTTTTTTTTTTTTTTTTTTTTTTTTTTTGGCAGAATGTTTATTTATTTAACAACAGCAATGCAGTTGCTTACACTTTCTACAAATGTTTTATCTCTTCTTCCTCCGCACCTGTCCCTGAGTGAATAGAGCCACATCTGTCTCATCTTGGCATAACAAGTACACATCTACATCTGCGAAAGATGATTCCATTTTTTGAAGGAAGCACTGTCTACTTCTACACTCCTGCAGTCTGCTAGAAATTATTGCACAATGGATTTTGTGTCTTGCAGGAAGGCTGCTAAATAGTGAATAGTGAGTTTGGAAATGATGCAACAAAAGTAATGCCTGATTTTAAAAACAAATAGTGAGATATAGATGTAAATATACGTTTATTCTAAACTTCACAGAGATGACAGATGCACTGATTAATGCTACCTTCGTGTTACTGTCTCTAGTGCAGCAGATTTTCACTTAACAGCACTCAGAAAATGAGAGCTGTAAAGTATAGGGATAGTAACGGGATATTGATGCTTATACCCATCTGAGTCAAAGCCTGGATGAATTTGGTAGTAAGTTTAAAAAATATATATATATTATCTGATGGTTGTTTAGTAGCAAATATGAAATAATGGGCTCTGTGGAAAACAGAAAGTGGGTTTGGATCTTTATCCAGTGTTCTCAGTATCCTTTGTTTGTCCAATCCCAAGATTTTTGTGTGCGGGGAGGGGGGAAATGTTACCAGCAGGGGATGTGCAGCAGGACGTGTGGTCAAACCAGGCAGCCTGCAGTGGTGGAATGAAGCATGAGAAGGGTCTCAGTCCTATGGGAAAGCCACAGGGTCAGCACAGCCAGCGGGCTCCTGGCTAAGAGCTGCCGCTTGCTGTCCAGGGTTATGTTATTAATAACACTCAGTAGCTCATTAAATAAATGAAGAGGTGAGCTTTGGCTGATGTAGTTAAGGGTTTAATGAGGTAAAATAGCGAAATAGCCAAAAACCTCTTGCTGACTGCACTGCCAGTGATACTGAACTGATGAGTCGCGGTGATGTTATGAACTTCTTTTATGGGCCTGGCTATCAAAGTTGAAGCAGAAATAAAGGTAAAGTGCCCCAGAGCACCTCGTTCACTGCTGAGTTTTCTTTACCACTGCCTAGAGCCAGGGAGAGCATCAATCCAGCATCACTGTGGGACCTCAGGTACCCAACCCAGACTATGTCATGTCTGGTGCCAACAAATCTGTGCCTGCTGACCAACCAGGGAACACAATATTTTCAATGCGTATGATGGCAGAGAGATTTCAGTGAGAAACGTGGCCTGGCCAGGAAGTAGAATCTTTGTGTATGGAAAAAATATGCCTGTAATAAAAGTTGGCTTCACTGCTTTCCACCATTTCCTGGCCATTTTTCATCCTTTGCCAACCTGGAGTTCTGCGCAAAGTGTAGGAAGCCCTCCTTACTGCCTCTTTGCTCAGAACTTTTGAACTTGGGGAAAAAAAAAAAAAAGGAAAAGAAAAAAAGAAAAATTAAGTACAGAAGTGAGCGTGTTTCTTCAATGCAGAAGTGAGTGCCTTGCTTTCAAATAATGTTATTTCTCTGTGAAAATTTCTGCTGCTTTTCCCCTCACTGTGCAGGGGGACAGAGTGGGAGCAAGACAGATTCATTCCTCTGTGATATCAAAACAGTTCAAAACGTGGTCAGATCCAAAAGAAATCACTAAAATGTTCATGTTTATATTCACGAATAAATTATTTCACTGGGGAAATAAAAAGAATCACAATCAGAATATGTGATCAATTGCAATTATTTTAATGTTTTCAGAAGTGTACGGAGAATTAATGAAAAGTCATCCCAGAAACTTTTGTCAGTCTCATACCCTTTAAAGGGTCAACAAACTGAACAAATTGAAGATGATTATGAAGTGGGGGAGACCATCCATACTCAGTGAGACAGTCCTTCTGCATACAGTACTGGGGTACACAGGTCTCATATGCTATGAGGCTGGGATTTTTTCCTCTTTTTTTTTTTTTCTTTCAAATATATATTTTCTGTGTTTCGTGTGCTATCTTTAGGCTTCCTCAAAATTAACTGCTTGATTTACCCGTCCTTCCTTGGAATTTATGATTCATATCTTCCTTTTTTTCCCCCCTCTCCCTCTCTCCTGCCAGACCTTTCCAACTCCCAACTGCTGCTCTATCTTCTATATTAAGCACCTCAGGCTCTGATGTACTTGACAATACCTTGTACTTTAAAAACACACACAATAGCACACTAGCAACTGAAGATATTTGCTGTCATGTGACATACATATGCTAACTTCACATTCATGGCCTTTTGCCATCTTAGTAAATACCCTACATTTACCTCTTCATCTTCCTCGCATTTGTTTAAAATATCATTGTTAAAAAGCCACACACACACACACAAAAAATCACTGACATAGTTATATAATGTGTATTATTTACTTAATAGCTGTTCTGGTCTATTGGGTAAATATATAGTCAGGCAGTTTTTAAAAACATGTATTACGTACCCAAGAGACCAGAGAGACTCTGAAGGAGCTGTTCCAGTCTATTGGGTAAATATGTATTTAGGCAATTTTTCAAAATATGTTAAAATTCCTTCAGTGCCATTCTGGTCAATTGGTTAAATATGCATTTAGGCTTCTTTTTTTAAAACTCCTTTTATGTAGCTGATGACTGAAGAAACTGTAAATGCTAAGTGTGTTTTCCTTATTTTATTGATGAGCATAGCTTGTTATTTGCTCCCATATCTCAGCTCTGTTCCCTGCTGCTGCATCTCTTTGAGGCCAATGAAGAGCCACACATCTCATGACATGGCATCAACACAGAGAGGTGACACAAGCAAAGGCTAAAATGAACATGGGTATATTTGAGTGTTACAAATGGCACTGTAAAAATCAATGAATGCACAGAGTTATAATTATGAAATAGAGAGTTTGGCTAAGCACTTGTTACACCAAAGGAGAATAGATACAATGCTTACCCATATCCTAGGCTCATTGGGAAACTCCAAAGGAGGGATCTCCAGAAGAGATCCTTCCCCACTGGTAGCCAGCTCTTAAATGGGTCTAGGAGAGGTGCAGCCAGGCTCCACTCCTTCTGGCAGCACGGGTGAATTGCCTTCACCTGTGCTCCTGGCTGACTCATTGCTTGCCTCAGGTGGTCAATCAGAGAGGTTCAGGACGTGATTCAGCTGTTCCCATACAGGCATTAACCCTTCTGACGGCCACCGTCACTAAAAGCAATGCTCTGCACACATTCTCCCTACATCAGGCTCTCTGTCAGTGGACTGATGTACTTTGCATTGTGCCATGCTGGTTCAACTGATGGATATTTTTAAGCCAGATGTATTTTCAGAGGTACAAAACAGCATTTGTAAGCCCTGCTCTCAATGCTGGGTTTGCTCGTATGATGAAGTTTAGCCCATGCTTAGGTATGAGTTAGATCAGGGCTCAACCAGCAGCACTCACATCCATTTAAATACATGACTTTATGTATCTATAAGATGATAGATATATTCCTCCAGAATCTTTTTAGGTGTTTAAGGTGATAGGATAATCAAATGTGATGGCTGAGCTATAACACAAGTTTCTGAAAATCTGAATGTGAAGTAGCTGTGACAGATGTTAGCGTGCTGGGCTTTGTGCAGCTTCTGCTGTATTTCAGTGGAGCTTATATATTTACATCTAGCTCTGACTGAGTGATCTCTGGTGACAATTTTACACATTGGTAGAAGCAGGGGCTGGGCTTAGCAAGTGACTCAAGGCAGGCAAATGAGAAGACTTCTACAGGCTTGTTCCTATTAATGCATTGCTTTCAAGACAATTAATGGGAACTCAAAGCTGAAGTATATGCATATACTCATAGTGTAGAAGCCCAAATCCTCCTGTGCTTTTCTCCTCCATTGTAATGAACACTTTTTGGTGAAAGAACAAAAGAAGCTGAGGAAAGGAGGTGGTGTTTTTAGAGGGAAGTAATGCAGAAGAGACAGAAGTGAGCATGGGAACAAGAGGAGCACATAAGTATGCTCACGCAAGTCCAAGGTCTCTACGTGTAGGGATCAATGTTGTATTGGCTCTGCCCATATCCTAAATGGGAATCTGCTAACCTAGACATGCTCTCCTCGAAGGCAGTGGGGTTGCTGCTCTGCTTAAATTTAAGCCAAGTGTAAACCTTCCCAGGCTGGAGTAGAATGATGTCACTATTTCAAATCAATCAACTCCTTTTGTTTTGCATCAGTACAAGTAGAATGCAACTTTAATTCTGAGGAATGTTTTAAGGAAAACAAATATGGAAAAATATTGATAAGAATTCTCCTAAGGAATATTGATAAATGAACATGTTGATAAGAACTCAATAAATGTGATGAATTATTGCCAAAATAAATGTATTATCCAAATTATTAGAGCAGCTGTAATGCTAGCATAAAAATAACAGTGCATTTGAAGGGATGTTGTGTTAGTCACATAATTTCATAAACAATGATCAAATCCCCTCAGAATAAAAGAATCTTCTCTGTCAAATACTATGAGATGCTTTCCAGATCCACCCGTGTATCTAGGCCTCTGCATTAATCAGGCCTACATTGGATTTTTCTTTTTAAATCATTGAGCTGGATTCCGAGAGATGCTCTCAACAGGAACTGTTGCTGTGTAACATACTCACACCTGAAATGTGATGCTATTATTATAATACAAGGATCTCTGTGGGCTAAGGGGAGTTCTGGTTTAGTGTCCAGATTCGGATGTCAAGCTTATTCTGTAAAAAAGGTAAAGTTCCATATTTCATTAATATTCCAGTTTGTTGAGGTTGGCAGGGACCAAGGATCTTTTTTTCACCAATTTATAAGTTATTGGTGAGGTTTTCCTTTTCAAAAGATACTCATGCCTTGACAGGCAAAATGTGGGTAAACTGTAACTGGAGCTTCTGAAATAGCGCTGCCAAACTATTTTCATTTCTGCCTACTTAACCATGTTCATTGCCCTTTCCTAAATAAATAAAGCATATAGATAAAATGAAAGGACAAAACACATATATTGAGCAGATAAAGAAATAGTCAGAACTGCTCCAAAGCCAGGAGATTTTTCTGCTTGTTTTTGGCTGTAACAGAGGGCAGGATAGTGGGTTAACCCGCTGTAGGCATAATCTAATTTGGCAATTTCAGTGATCCTAAGAAAATTCATATTCTATTGCAACATGTGACAGCCTTGTGATGGGCACAAATGGGGGATGAGATCAGACCACCAAAACCAATTACATTAGATTAAACAGAAATGCGATGTTTTCAATAGTCAAAAAATTCTGGAGACATCATCAAAGCCATCAGCGCCCATCTCTTCACAATCTTTACTAGGATCATTTTGTTCCCTCTGCATTGATCTACTACAAAACAGAAAATTAATTTAAAGGAGGAAAGATCTTCAAATATTTATGTCTGAATATGTGTGGGCAAAACATAGACTGAGAGCCAACAGCTTATTCCAATAGTCGGGACGGAGACTCAACATAGGGCCCCATCCAAATCCCATCAAGACCCAAAAGACCACCTTCCACTGACTCCAGTGGACATTAGGCTTGGCCCACATTCCAACCCTCCTTCCATGCTACACACATGTTCTTTCCAAATTCTCTTTTGTGCTTCCAGGGCTGTTGGAGCTGCAGTGGGGAAGGCTGTGCATGCATGGCTGAGGCAAAGCAGGGGAAGAGGGAATTCCCACTGTGGGTGCAGGGAGCAGATACAAAACACTAAGCAGTGTTATTTGTTGGCTTAGCAGTAACCAGTCTTGCCTAACAGACATCTACTTTGATTCTTGTGACATTAGGTAAACTCAACATGGTAAAACCAATGAGAGACTTTGACCTTTTGAAGCTGGTTAAGACTCAACCACCTCTGTATGTTGTCACCACCAGCAAGAAAAAAGCAAAGGTGCTACAACATATCTGCATCTACAAGTCTTCATCAACTGGATTTCCCCTCAACAGGACACAGCAGCTTACCCAGCATCTCCTTTCCCTTTGAAATGAGGGTTCTTTTCCTTAGTCTGTTCTCAACACCACTCGCAAACTGAAATGGATATCATACATTACTAATACATGCCACTGTTTTACTGTTTTTCTCTGACCACGGCAATGCAGCAGTGGAAGAAGATTCTGCCTTAGGATTTCTTTTACCAAGAGATAACTATTAGCTTCTTCTTTTTTTTTTCCTCTCATGAAAAAGCATCAACATTCACATCATCAGCCTGTGTGCTCAGACCACTGCTTCCTCAGATCAGTAATGGAACATCCCCTGGATGTGGAGACACATTTTAAACTGCATGGTGACTCTGGTGAGTGTTGCAGACCCAACACAGCCTGTGGGGGCAATATAATAGGGGATTGAAAGAGAAGATCCTCCCCCACACCGAAAACATTTTCTGCACTCATGTCTGTGGCACAAATAGATGGACTGAGCTCCAGCACATCTGAGCACAAGGCTTCTGCTTCCAGGAGCTTGCAAGCCCCACATTGGGGGTTAACAACTTAGCCCTTCCCCATAGAAGCAGAAGGAAGCTCTAGTTTTGCAGGATGCTCTTATGCACATCTGAGAGGCGGGCAGTGCAGATCTGGTGCTTGCACTCTCTTTTTTTTTCTTCCAATTTTATTAAAATACTTAGCAGAGAGAATCACATCTCCTTACTAGATGCCACGCATTATCCACTGATAAGCAGTAAACATCAACCCCAGTTTTTCATCTTACACTGTATTATCCTGAAGCCGACTTAATATGGAATGACACCTTATGATTCTGTATTTAAAAGAAGGTAAAATACGTTCAAGCATCTTCATCACAGCTACGGTCTGAGCACTTGAAAAACCTATGATAGGCACTTTTATCTGATGCATAAGAATTAAAGTATTTATCTCTTTAAAATATGAGTTTCCTTGCTTGTGAGAAATTTTCTTACTGGGAAGGTTTCCAAAACCACTCTCATGGAATTTTCTCAGCTCTTGTATTTGCTCCTTCTCCACACCTCTTCCCCAGCGCACAGAGGCACATCTGTCTGTTTTCTGCCTTATCAAGCAGACATCTACATCTGTGAGGAAAACTCCACTTCCTTAGCTAAAAACCTGTATCTGATTGTGGTAATAAAGCACTACTTCCTCAGTTCAAAACATACATCAGACAGGACCAATTACTTCAAATGACTCATAGCAACAGGCAAAGCAATAGTCGTCTTTTCAAAGCCTTTGAACTTCTACTGCTTCAAAGGTGTACTAAAATGTGGTTATGAGGCGATTGTCTAAAATTGCCAAATTACCAGTCTCCAAGCTTTGACGGTTTGTTATTTTGAGCAAATAGAAAAAGGAAAGCAGTTTGCTCACCCGCTGAGGAAAAAAAAACAAACAACAAAAAAAAACAACCAACAAGCAAAACAAAGATATTTCCTAGGTGAGAAGAGATCTTAACACGGTGCATTCCTGAACACAAAACAGAAAAACGCACTTTAAAGTAATCAAATAAAATAATCAGATTATCAAACAATATGCAACAATAATGCAAAATGCAAACAATATGATCCAAAGCTACTGGGTGAATTTAACAGGCTCTTAATCACATCCTGGGGGTGGGTCAGAGAAGCTCAAAGCGTTATTAATGGGAATTAAAGCTTTTCGCCTTCAGGTCACCAATTGGAATGTAGCACAGGTTGGTTCTGACTGACTGTCATTGCCATCCGGTAATTACTGGCAAGGCTATCTGGCATGGGCTTGTGGTCTCAGCAACCTCCAAAGAGAGGTATTTGCAGAAACCAGCATGAGAACATACCTCAACTGCAGTGGGCAGTTCAGGACAAAATAGTGCCATGGTTGAAGTCTGATCCAACAGAAGACAAAGTATGTGAAACGCAAAGATCTTACTTCAGTGGACGTCATTTATGTAGGAGGCTATAAATCAGAGTTTCAGTGCTTTCTACTACTTCAGTATTGTATTTAATACTGTTATGGAGTTATTCTCTAAAATTGCCAAGTTATTTGTTTCCCATGCACCAAATTCCACTGGACTTGAATTGGACAGTGTTACTAATGAGCTGTCCTTGACAGTGGTGGCATCCTCCTGACAAGAACCATGCATGTTGATAAAGACATGCAATAAAACATTCTTACTCTAGCTGGCTAATAGCTCTTCTGTGAATGGACTGACCCAGTTTCTGTAACTGTCATAACCACAAAAAGAACTTATTCCCAAGAAAGTTCATTGTGAAAATTCAGCACTGAGAATTCAAACTACCTTACTCAGATGGAATTGAATGCAGCACACTCAATATTGTCCCACTCCCTTAGTGGTTTAACTCTCCAGATCACACTTTTCATGCAAATATTCATGTTTAGGAAATCAGCATACAGGTTCTATTTGTGTTTGACATCTCCATTAACGCTGTTGTTTTGAGGTTATTCAACTACAGAAACACAACCAAAGAGAGGCAGAGAAAAATCATTTTAAAATTTCAGCGACTATTCACAGTGGAGATGCTCAAGGCTAGAAGCTACTTCTGGCTTTGGTAGTAGAAAACCTACAGGCACTTTCTATGAGTAAGGTACATCTGTTCAGGCACTGTACTTTGCTAACATCATAGTTTTGTTTTCTAGACTGAAGATCCTTCAAGTCTAGCAGCTCAGATGCTTGTATCCGTCTGTACACTTTTGGGTAAATACCTGTCATTTCAGGCTGAATTCCCTGATGATCTCCACAGTGAGATCAGATTGCCCCATAGTACACTGCTTTCTCTCTTCTGGCACATAGCCAGTGCCACCAACCCTGAGACTCCAGCAAAGGAGACAACAGTTTGACTCAACAGTTGCTGCATTCTCTTGCTTTTATAACAGAAAGGACCTCTGAGATCACTTGATGGAAAAAGGAACGAGGACTACCCCTTCTGTCATCTTCAATTAGTTTCTGCATCCATCTCTTTCCTAGGCATTCCTGGATGTGTACAACAGGCAGATAGAGCAACTTCTTTGTACAGACCTGGCTTTGTGACACTCTTTGATGAACAATATTTTGCAAAAGAAGCATTATTTTTTTAGCACTGAACAGCAATTCAGCTTGTTACTGTTCATTCTGTTGAAAAGAAATCCCTTTGCCATGCGTTAAGGAGTCAAACAGTGGGTATTTTTGCACAAAGCTAGAGCTTCAGCTTCACCTCCTATTAACAGAAATGATCTGATCTCTCCAGGAAAAGAAATTATTATACATACTCTTAAATATCTACTTGCCACTAACGTGGAAGAAACAAAAAAATGCACTGACAGTCTGTACCACAGGATGAAAATGTTACTGCAATCTAAACCACTATTACAGTCATTTCTCCTGCTCAACCATTCTCTACGTCAAGGTCCAGTCTGTACTTTCCCATTCTCCCAGAGCATACCTACTCACACCCATAGGGACCTTACTGGCACAAACCCGTCACACCTAATATATGTTATAGTCCCACTTTCCTAGAAAAAAAGACCTATTAATATTATAATTATTCTTAAATATCAGCAGTATCTCTGAAAAGGGATCACCAGTCTGGAAAAGATGAGAAACACTGTCAGAGAACATAAATTGTCTGTGCATTTCATCACAGGACAATGAATGTGCAGAACCGGAGTACAAACAACCATTTGGAGCAAGGTTTTATGTTCTCTATACTTTGATACAACTCTGAATGATGTTTTCTGTCATCCACTGAAGCTCTGAATTTATGAGAACATCAGCACATCCATTTAAACTGAGGATGCCCAGATGGGGAAACCCTCTCACCAGCACTATGAAATACCCATCTGCTGCATATTAATACTGTTCAAGGGATTACTGTTTCATGCTGCCTCTCTGCTATGGTTGGCTTTGGGAAGCTGGGATGTAGGCACACATACTAACATGGCTCTGGGGTGAGGGTTTAGGTTGAGTCACTGTGGGACAGTGGCAAATTAGGGAAGTCTGCAAGCTCTCAGTTGGCCCATTCCAAGCAGAACAAGTTCTGAAAGGGAGAAAGTCCTCTCAGAGTATCAGTTTGGTCAAATAATGTGTTTATAGCACAGTTATTAGATCATGAGGAGCAGTTAACTGAAACAATGAAATGTAACTGTTAGAAATTATCCTCTATCAGATGTCAGCTAGGGACATTTAGAGGAGGAGTTGAAGCTTATAAATAAAATATGATGTAGAAATTAAACAAACAACCCACGGAGACTCTTTCAGATTTCTTCCTTCCCCCCGCCCTGCTTCTTAACGCTAAACCACACAGTAAACATCCTTTGAATTGGAGAGGTTTAATCTATGTGCAAAAAGGGAATTAGAGGCCAATTCAGCTTTTTTTTTTTTCCTTCTTCCTTTCCTTTCCTAGAGGCCTCCTTTTTATTTTCTTCCCAGGTATTGATTGTGAAAGTGATATCACACCAGAAGGTGCATTGATATGGTGTTGAGTAACAGAAAACTGCAAAGACTCCTTACAGTATAATCAAAGCCTCTGTTCAAGTCCCACACTCTGATGAAATCCAATCAATACGGACGATTAAATGACACATACAGAGCCATCAATATTAAATACAGTCCATTTCCTGTACAAGAGCAGTGCAATGTAAAGTGGACAAGATAAAACTTGAATAGGCAGGTTATTTACGATGGCTCTATAGCATTTAAGAAGTGACAAAAGTTAGAAGCACACATCATTTGCATGCTAATCAAAAATACAAGTAAGCTTTTGCAGTGCTTACTTTGCAGTCAAATTATATTTAAAATATAATTTGGTGAGTTTACAATGTTTCCTAACAGTAACTTATTTAAAGTTCTATTTTTGAAAGGGAAATGGGATTGGAATCCAAACTGAAACATTGTGGGTGCTGTGGTCTGTGATTTTGACAAGTCATTTGGTTCTTACAGAGCCTGCTGAGATCCCAAAGTCACCTGGTGTGAAAGATGGGGTTTGTGACAATTAATTATAGGGAGGTGGTAATTTTAGGTGTAAAGCACAGAAGAATGTAGAGCCTGAAAGACCTTACACCTAGACAGCCACCCTCACCAAGGACAGTGGCCATGCCAAGTAGATGCCAAATACAGATGATGTTTGTGAGTTTTGGATCCTCCTGGGGCTGTTAGAGAGGATCTGGGTAGCATGAGGCACTTTGTGGCATGAGCAGAAGGTGCCCAGTAAGCATAGTGAATGGTTAACTGATGGGAAGAGTGGCAGTGATGCATGTGATCTACTCTATTTTGAGACTCCAAGGGGGTTGCTTTTCTGACGGCAGGATCTCGGCATAAAACAGTATATGCCTCTTTCAAAAACAACCATGCAGACAAAATGATTCTTCTAGGATGGAAGAAGAATGAAACAAGGCAAGATGTTGGCATTAGACCTTGTGCTTGGCATGCCCAGGAAAACAAATAGCCCACTTTCATTAGTCACTGAAACAACAGAATACAACAACAACAACAAAAAAATCAACTTGGCACGCCTGTAATGTGAGTTCTGCAGAAAGATCTTTTCCAGTAAAGGAAAGTTTTCCTTTGTTGTACTGGATGGTGGACTTACATTCAAAGATGCACTGTGGTGCTTCCCTTGGGTTGAGCACCACCCAGAACTGCCAGCCCTGAGGGATGCTTTCCAGTAACATGCCACCGTCTCTCTGCTGTGCTGCACAATATGTTTTCAGCAGTTCACAGAGCCCACGTGCTTCAGCCCCTAAAAGCCACATCTAACCAGGCCAGTTTCCTTTTGACATTTTTCTTCATACCATGACTTCACAATGTGAAGGTGGGGAAACACGAACAAATTAAATATCTCCTAGCAAAAGCAATGACTTTATAAAAATATGG